TGTCCATTTTAACGACTTGGATGCCAATGGCGCAGGCAAATACAACCATTTCGAAGTTTGAAAGAGGAAGGGGACGCGTCACGTGCCTTCATAAGGGAGAAGGATCCCCCTTTTAATTTATGCAGAGGGACCACCTCAAAGGGGAAGTTCCACAAAAGACAAAACTAATTGGGGATAGCATAATGATGAGACGGCCATATAGGGGTAAAAAGAAAAAGAAAAGTCAGGTGTGATGCGCAAAAGGCTCACAAGGCTAACCCGAGGAAGGGGCTGCTAACCCCCCTCTGCCTCAAACGTTTTGAAGACGGTCCAGTATTCTATTTATGAACTTCAATTTTTTTAGGGCCTTCAAGATATGCTCAAAATCCTGCGAAGAAGGCGTGAACGGGCGTATAGAAAGAATGTGTGAATCGGACGGGAAAGGGGGAGAGGCGAAACAAAACTGGAAGCACAAACAGCGTTCCATGTGTATTAAATGATGTGGACAGATGGGAAAGAGCTCGGGGACGTTTCTGTGATTGAGGGGACGGTACGAAGAAGTGCCCCCACCCAAGGAACTCTTTCACATTCGCATTCACGCCCAGCTGTGGCGAATAAGCTTCATGCGAAGGTGCAAAGTCGGCGTGGAAAAGTAGCCGTATGCGCTGTTTACCCCTTTGTCAAAATGGAGTTTAATTTTTTCCACGTGATCCTCGTACTTATACTTGTACTCCCTGGGGTGGTTGTTTGGGTGAAGTTTTGGATAGCATATAGGGTGGCATGTGTGTGCGAGGAAGCATGCCTCTTTTTGTTATTTCCCGTCATAGGGGAACAGTTCTACTCTCTCGCTTTGCTTACTTGGTCATCAGGGTAATATTGGCTTCGGGGTCTCCGATCTGTTCGTTCACCTTGGGGACGCGACAACGAAAGGAGGGAAGAGAAACAATGTGTGTGCGTTTCCTTCGCGCGCTGCCTCAAGTCTCGTCAGGGGGGTAGCAGCATAACTTAACGGATGTGAGCTCACCTGGACAATTTCGGCCAGGAACTCGCTGTCCTCCAGGTTCTCTTCCTCCGGGATCTTCAAAATGGGGGGTGTGCAGTGGAAGGAGAAACATGTGTGTCGTTATAACTTTTATCGATAGGTACGTACTGGGGGCAGATCGTCCCAAAGAATCAAACTGCCAAAGGCGCACACACCACTAGGAGTGCACAAAATGATAAGATGAATTGAATAAAAAAATATATATATCACATCCATGTATGTTAAAAAGGGAAGAACAGTGGCAAAAAAAATGAACCTCCCCTCTTCAAAACTGCTCACCTTGTAGTTGTACTGGATTCTCAAGAGGTAGACCGCTCGGTCCACGTCATTTTGCAAAGTTTTGTATGCACTGTTCAGGTAGCTTGAGACTTCGTTTATCTGTGCAAGCTTTGGCCACGTGGGCAACAAAAAAAAAAAAATAAAAACACACAACATAACGTAAGATAACGTATGAAAAGCATACATGCAACTATGCGCACATAGGTCAGCCCAACTGGGAGGGGAACCCAGAACGTGGGCATTCCTGCCGATCCTATACGGTTGGACCTACCTGCTCATTTTGCGCATGCTTGTCTGGGTGATACAACTTTTGTATGTCGTTGAATTTTTTTCTTAAGTGTCCTTTGTCTATGTTGTAGGTGGTTGGTCTGAAGGGGGCAAAGTAGGGGAAGCTTCATTGCGGTGGCTGCTCTGTGGTGTCGATGTCGGGACAAATCCCCTGCGAGGGTTCATTGCCCGGGAAAGGGGCACCCTCCCTTTCGCACGTCCGTACAGGCCAAAAAGCTCAAAGAAGCTAAACTGTTTGAATGAATCCACGTGAAGCAGCGCGCTGCAGGTCTGTAAAGATGGAAGGGGAAATCGACATGGTGACTAGGGGTGATGAACGCGCCAAATACACACTGGTCTGTGTGCAAATATATAGGCACATAGATACATACGGGAATGTATACATTGTTGCGCTTCCCCCCCCTCTTGGTGCAAGAAAGGACCTTCAACTTACTTGACAACTGAGAGGGACGACGTCAAGACTGATGTCACTGTGGCATCTGTGGCACTTTACGTGCTTAACAATATTCGTATCTGCAATGGGGCGAAAAAAGGGGGGAGAGCGAATACGTTTGGAGTTCCAATTTGATAGCAAAAATGGAAACGCAATGCATCCGGAATGATCAACAAGAGGAAAGAGGTCCACCTCGTGGGGGAAATAAAAGCGTCCCCTCTTCTTTGCTTAACTGAGAGGGAAGGTGGCCATTCTCGGCACACACTAACCTTTCCCAGTTGAGTAAAATTTCTTTTCCAAAGTCCCAACGTGAGGATGATACCGTCTACGCCCTGTCGTGTTAAGTACCGCCTTGTGTCTCCATAACAGGGACACATATTTTACTTTATTCATGCCGCGTGGGGGGAGGTTAAAAAAGTTGGTACTTCGCCCGTTCGATGAGTCTCCCACGTGTAGGCGAGTCTGTCACATCGACCCAGTGTCCCGCGAACCATTTCAAGTTTCGCGCGAGTTGTGCAAATGGGGCTACAAATCAACGACAAAAAAAAAAGAGGTGGGTGGGGGGATAAAAGAGCAGAATAGGAAAAGTGTAAAGGAATGAAAAACGGAAAAAATAAAAAAAAAAAAAAAAAAAAAAAACGCAGCGCGGTGTGGTATGATATAGAGGCAGTGCTGCTGATTAGCTGATAAACTCTCGCACAATTTGGGAACATGCTTCCATTCAGGGGCCCGCTAAATTATTCCCCACATATATAACTTCTTCACTGGTACGCTGCTCACTACGCCGCGTATGTTTTTTTTTTTTTTTTCAATGCTGGCGTTGTCCCTTCCTACGCGGAGCGGGCTCTCTCCCCCCACCGACGTTGGCCAAATAGTTTCCGTAGCACTGCCCATTGGGAAAAAGCAGATTGTCATTATTTAACGTGTGAAACATGATTGTTCCCAATGGGGGGTGATGAAGCACACGTGGAACATGGACGGTGAGGGCATTTTAGAGGCCGTCCGTTCATCCTCTTTCCAGTGACCCGTTGAGAGGGAACCGATCTGTGCAAACGTACTTGAAAAAATTGCTAAGTGGTAATTGTTGTTTTGTGGACGCAAGGGGTAGCCATGTGACCCGTTGCAGTGTTGTCCTGTTCGGAGCTGGTTGCTGTCCCACATCAGCCTAGCGGTTAATCAGCAAAACTTCTAATCAGCAAAACTGCTAATCAGCAAAACTGCTAATCAGCAAAACTTCTAATCAGCAAAACTGCTAATCAGCTAGTCGTCCCCCCACCCGCGTGGCGCTCGTAGTGCTGGAACTGCTGAACCTGGAGCTGCTTAAAATCCTGCACGAACTTCTTGTCCCAGTTGGTCTCTTTCATCTTCCAAAACAGGGGCTTCCTAGATTTCATTAACTCCACGACGGACTTGTCGTATTCGTCTAGCATTTGCTTTATGAACCAGTCAGGGAGAATTTTGTCAATGTCGTAGTTGAGCTGGAAAATGGCTTCCGGGATGTGAGGGAACTCAGGAAAATGGTTAGCGGTGAGTTTTCTTTCCTGTACACATTTGTATATCGTTTTAATAATATCCTTGAAAAAAATCCAGTCGGCCTTGGGCATGGAGGCAACCATAGTGTTCAGCATGGTCTTACGGACACTGGGTTGCTCCTGGCAGATAATCGTAGTTATGTTGATTACGTCTTCCCATATGTCCTTTTCCAATATGGAATAAATTCCCTTTTGGATAATCATTAGGATGATTAGCCAGTCGGAGGGCTGCTCTCGGAAGTCCTTCCCCTCCATTTTGATTTTCCTCTTTTCCATCCGTATGGCATGCTTTACATACCCAAGGAAGGAGTAATCCAGGAGTGGCTTCATGGACTCGATAAAATCATTGAGCCCTTTCTCATCGTACACCGCTTTTTCACAAATCAGTTGGATTTTTTTTAAGTGCTCTCTCTCTTCATGTTCCATGACAATCTTTATATCATCGTAGAGACTCAATGCGAAGGAGTTAATTATTTTTAGAATTTTTTTTTCTTCTACATTTTTCGGGGGGGATTCTTGAAGCCTGATTTGCATGAGGCAGGCATATTCATCACTGAGTAGCACATCTCGGTAGTTGTTGCAGACGGTGGGGATCATGTCTTCCTCTGTGTAGGCCAATTCGCTAATTAGCGTGTTTAACCTCAGTTCATTCATTTTCCATTTTTCTCTCATTTTTTGTTTTTCCCCCTGGTCACTCCTGCTATACATTTCGTACAAAGTAAGTTTTGGTTTGTCTTCTGGGTCGAGTAATTCCTCTTCCAGGCAGTTAAAGAACCGTCTGTTAATGTTGTTTTGGTTTGCCTCTTCGGTGGTGTTTCCTTCCTTTTCATGGAAGCTTTCCTTCCTGGTTAGATCGGTGAAGGGGGTGGTCTCCTCTGTTTGGCAATAGGAAAAGGTTTCTTCCGTTGCGGGGCCATCACCGGTTGGGTTGCCCATTTCCCCCGGAACGACTAAACCTATCCTGTCGGTGAGCTTCTCCACTTCTGTGAATCTATAGAAGCGCTCCTTGTTTTTCTGCTCGTCCGATTTAGCCATGCCCTTCTTCCAAACGAGCTTAGCCTCCTCGTCCGTCAGGTCAAAGGACACCTTCATATAGTGGACGTAATCCTCCAGCTTCATAATAAGTTTATTCTCCTGTGACATTTCTAAGTTCCTTTTCAATTGCAACACTGAGTTTCTTCGGAACTCGACTTTTTTCTCCTCAGACCAGTCTTTCATATATTCGGGTTCTTTCGATTTATCGTCACACGTTAGGTTTACCTTGGAGTGGAGCTTCAGTTCCTCCACGATTAGTTCTTCCTGTGGGGAGTCTTTTCTTATGTGTTTGACTTGCTCTGCGTCAGTTCCTCCCTGTGGATGGTCCCCCCGGTTAATATTATTACTCCGTCCTAATGTTTCATTTGGCTCTTCCCTACTGACAGAGATGTGTTGTGGGCCCACCTTGTCACTCGACACGTAATCATAGTTAGTCTGCGGTGTGTGTCCATGCATCAGTGCTTCTGCCTTCTTCGACATGGGATTTAAATAGAACACTCCCTTCAAATCATGTTGCAGCTTCTTCAATATCCTCTGTTCGCATTCTTTCACTAAGAAGCTGATCATATTTCCATGCAGACCTCTAACTCCACTAGCCACCTTCCCCCTATGAACATTCATTTCCACCCCCTTCTCCAGCGAACTAAATTTTATTAACAAGCTGTCTTCAGCCTCCCACTTGAGGTCATATCCTGAAATGATAATCTCTATTTCGTGTTCATTATTTATTACGGCCGTTTTTAATTTCATCCTGGGGATGCCAAACTCGTTTTGGTTATTCGATTTCGTGTTGGCCCACTTGAGGACAAAACTGAACACATCGTCAGCCTTGGCATTGGGAAAGACTTGCCTAAGGAGGAGCTCATCCGGTTTGGCACTTACATGTGCGGATGCGCTAAAGTCGTCATTGTTGGTTGACGAAGCGTTATCATACGATAGGTGAAGAATATTTTCCTTTTCGATTACCCCTACCCATTCGTTTATTCCTTTATCCTTCTTCTTCTTTTTCAAATGAATCATAAGAAGGGAGATGTCTTTGTACTTTTCTAGGAACCACGTGGACTGGTTTATATCTACCTGTCCTTTTAGCTTCCCCTCTAGGAGGCTCTGCGGTTTGTTTTTCAGCTTGGCAAATAAATAATCACTCGTTAAGCGGCACTGAATATCGTCAGAAGAAACATCCGGAGCAAGACATATCTTTACTTCTACGTTGTCATCATTCTCTATCCATTCGTATGAGCATGTCGTTCCGCGGCCCCTGTACAGTTTGAAGATCTCCTGGCAGATTTGTTTCTCCCTTTTTGGGATCACTCCACAGTTGGGAATAAACAATTTGGCACACTTGATTGGGTTGTTTTTGGTTCTCTGCTGCTTTGCCTGTCTCGAGCTGCTAACCGGTGGTGACTTCCTCCTTCGGGGAGTTAATTTCACACATTCGAGTGAACTGAGTAAACTCTTTAGGATGCAAATCAGGATTATCAGCGACACCACCAAGAAGGGGGGGTGTTTCCTTTTCCGCATGGCGAGCCGTAGGTAGGGTCATCTTGGCAGCCGAGGAGAGCGATGCGCGCGGGGTACTGTCGCGTTGGTCGAAGTTGTCAAACTGGGGTGTCTCCCAAAGCTCTTAACGGAAAGGTTTTTGAGTGTTCCTCGAGAAAGGCACACAAAAGAGGGGATGTCAGAAAAAAAGTGGTTTAAAAATGAACTAGGCCAAGCAATTTCGTTGCGCTTCCTATGCACAGTTTTTTTTCCCCCTAACCTTGGCTGACCCACCAGAGTGCTCATTCCGACGCGCAGTGGTTCACAAGTTGGGTGAATACTCATCTGTGCAGCCTCATCATAGCCACGTTTTTTCGTTTGCAAGATTGGTCCGCTTAGGTTACGCGGTTAAGCGGTTAAGCGGTCATGCGCCTGAAAAGTCAAGGAACAAACCGCCAATAAGCCAAACCGCTTAACGGAGAGCGAAGCAACGTCGAGGGAGCTCTTCGCCTAGCCGTGAAGCACCCCATTTGGCATTTCCCTTTTTCAATATGTCACTCACGCGTCATATTCACACTTGGCATAGAAAGGGACGACGCCACTTGGTACACCATCTTGGAAAGCCCCAACCGTGAAATGGCCCAACCTACTACGTTAGCTTAAAATGCGCACACATGGAACGCTTTGCCAAAAGGGGAAACCCATTTTCACAATGCTCTTCAAAACATTTTCGCAAAAATGGTGTTAACTCTCAAGGATGGGCATTTATCTTTCTTGCGCGTTCGGGAAGGGGAAAACTTATCACCCCCCGTTTGCGCATCACGTGCAGGAGCGCATCAACTTGTGTGTCACACCATTCCCAGCCGCTGTAATCGGCACAACAAAGCAACGTCGCAAAAGGGTAGCCATCAATTTAGCTGCCCCTTTTCATGTGAACAAATGAGAAGGGTCCGACCAGGAGGAAAGTAAATTTAAGGAGGGCACAGTGCGGAGGATGTCTCAAGTTGGTTACACATGACAATGCTCAAAGGGTGCAACGTTGTGAAATACGTTTAAGGGGCAACAATTATTTTCTCCAACCACCGCTGTTCTTCGTTTTTCATTCTTTATTTTATTATTTTATTTTTTTTCCCCTCTTTGTCCGCTGTATGTACACAGTTGGCTGTAGGTTAAATGCGAAGGCGCATTTCTTCGCCCCAGCATTAATGACACCATCGGGTGTAAGGAACGCAGTGGTGATGTTTGTCCTGGTTTACCTGCTGTTCGCGGAATACGCTCTCTGTCCAGGCTCTGATGCTGCTCGAAAGGTGTTTCTTCCGGGATCTCACCAGTGGTTGCAAGGCGGCAAACTGGCAAACCAGCAATTTAACAATCTGACACTTTTGTGATTTTTTTTTTTTTTCCATCGCGGTTATGCGGCATTTCCCATCAGGGGCCTTAACAAAAAGACAGGTGCGAAATTTCACTGCGTCAAAACAAAATGACCTCTCTTTTTTTTATTTTTTCCTTTTTGCTGTCCCTTTCATTGGACAAACAAATTGGCCTCGGGGCTAAGCGAATGCAACGGCCCCTGAATGTGTACTACAGGGACTATTCCGCAAATTTGTCCAATGAACAGCGGGACAAATTAATGAAAATAATGCTTGACGATGAGGGGGATGGCAAGCCGCAGGGAAACCTAGGGGGCGCTATTGATATGAACGAAATGCATGTGCAGGAGAGAGAACTAGGGGCTCTCCTGAAGGAGCAAACGGACTTGTCGGGGCAAATTCGGGAGGACTCGCGCGGACGCACCAGAAAAAGTGATACTAAAGATGGGCCGACGGGGGCTTGTGGAGGTGGTGCGGGGGGCCTGCAGAATAAGCCTACACAACAAGCCAGCGCAACAGACCTGCGTAACAAAGCTGCGTAACAAACCTGTGAAAAACCCCATCTCGCCCGTTCATCCACCTTTATAGACAAGCGAATGTCCATCAGATACAACCATGGGGAAAACGGCGCATCGGGTAGCGACTTAACGGAAGCAAACGAAGACGGAGACCATTTTGACGTCGACACGGAAATTGACGGTTAATTCGGGGCTCCCCGACGATTATGATGCAAATCGGATAGCTCATCGGTTGCAGGTGTGTACGTGCACACTGGTAGTCCACATGCGCATATTCATGGTCGATCTCTTTCCCCCCCTCCTCCTTATTTTTCCCTCACAGTCCCCATCGATTTGATGCGCGAACCCGTAGTGCTTGTTAAAATCCCAGTAGTTGGCATTTACGACCAAATGGAAGTAGGACTATATACAGACGCGCTGCTTGCCGTACCAAGCGGAAGTTCACAACGGGCGATGAGCTGCTATTATACTCTCATGCTGCCCTCTCCTGCGCGCATTTTTTTGTAGATGCTACACGATGTCGGGAAGTTGATCGATGTAAATAATGAAGATGTGTTTTACTGACGTTGGGAATCTATCTTCTGTGGGAGGAGTGCGCAGATGGGGAAGCAGATTTGCTACTTCCGAAGCGCAACATTCACGTGGCACGCATTTCCCCCCTTGTCAAACTTAGCGAATCAGAAATGTATAATGTACAATCTTTTTGGCGAACTGTTTTGGATCTCTTCATGTTGATCTCCGCCTTGTGTAATGTTCCCTCTTTTCCGTTTGCCCACATTAAGAAAAAAAAATGACCAAAATAGGGCCTACCGCGTTTTTTTTTAAATGGAAAAACGCACAGTGTAGTAGTTGCTGGCGTCTTCGTTTTATTACAAACGATATAGTCTCTTTTGTGATTTTTTTTTTACTCATAGAATTTCTAAAAAGTGATGACTTTTTCAGGTTGTTATGAAACTTAATTGAAAGAAAATTATACACCGTTCTTTCATATATTTTTTTTTTTTTTAAATCGCTACCTGGGGTCACTCCACAATTGACGACTCCACTCCTTTTGTGTTGCTTCTCCTGCGTGAAATGAATAAACTTGTCGGAGGTCCCCCACAGGTAGTAGCAGCAACACAATAACAGTGACAATTGCCATCGGAAATTGTGTGTGTGTTTTATTTTCTACAGTGTTGAAAAGGCATTTGGGGAAAATACGAAAAGGTCCCCTATTGATGCATTTCTCTATTTTGATGAATGGCTAGCTTGTTGATATTTTTTCGTCAGTTTTTGTTCTTTTTAGATTTTTTTTTCTTTTTCCGGTATCCTGTTTGCTGTTTTTTGGGGTTTTTTTTTTGTTCCTATTTCCTTGGTGCCCCTTTTTGGCTTTTTTTTTTTCTTTATTCTTCAACCCCATTTTTGCCCCCTTACATGAAAGCAGAGCCGCATTTTATGCATTCACGACGGAGGTTTTTTTCTTGCGCCAAATTATTTCAATGTTTTAAAAAAAGGTCAACGGATACCAAGTGACGAAATAAAGAACTTGCTAAATGGACGTACATGCTTATATGTTACATTCTTATATGCATACATAGGTACACATGCACATACATACAGTTAAGGTATCCCATTTTGAGTACCTTCCGAGTCCAGCACATTCGACATTTTCTCCTTTTTAAGGATGCGTAATTACATAAGAGCATATGATGTTCAATGAAAACAGCACGAATAGCCAAGGGGTTGTGAAAACAAAATGTATCCCCAAAGGGGATTGTAGTAGTCGTAGTAGCAGTAATCGTAGTAACAGTAATCGTAGTAGTAGTGGTGCCCCCGGGGGATTATACAAAGGGGGAGAAGAAGACCATACCAAATTGATGCAAAATACGTTGCACCTCTTTGACCATATAAAAAATGACAAAGATATTTTCTCCCAAATCATCAAAAATGTAATTACCTTTTTGAACAAATTAAAGGAAGAAAACAAGTATTATGAATTCGTTTCTTCCTATGGCACATTTGTTAAAAAATATGGACCCCTAACAGATTACACATCTTTTAAAGAAGTCATAGAAAAGATTAATACGCTGGACATTATTGAAGTGTGTATCTCTTTCAATTTCACTAATGACAGTATATTCCAGACTTTGCTGTCTTCCTACCTGGAGTTGCATTTGAATGAGGCGACCAACATTTACAACATGCTGCTCGAACTGACGAGGGTTGTCATAGATGGCTATGCCATTTGGGGAGAACAAAATAAGAGAGACCCAGACTTTGTAGACATCTTTATTTCGCAGTGTGAATTGAAATATGTTTCGAGGGAGCAAATAAAAAAATGGTTTAGCTATGTTAAACAACATGAGAATAATTACTCCGATGCGCTTTTCTGTTTGATTGACTTATGTTTGAGCTTAATTAACCATGTGCATGCGTTGCTAGAGGAGGGGGGGGTTGCCTGTGCTACGTACACCGCCTACGTAAGTGAGTTAGTCATTCTGAGGAGTTCCTTTCCCTCTGGGGAGCCCCACCACAAACAGGACGCAGAGACAGAAAGTACAAAATTGACAATCGATCAGCGTGGTGAACAAGTACGAAGGGGAAGGACACAGCTCGGGAAATATTCTCCAAATGATGTAACCTCCGAATGGGATAGCAAAAAGGAGAGGACAACCAAATTGAGAACTTCTATGAAGGACAGACCTGGACATATATACATTTGCACCTTTGAAGACAGAATTGTGTGCATGAAAAATGGAGACTGCATAGGGGAATACTCCGATGATGCAACAATAAATGAGGATATGAGCAAATTCGTGTACGAAATTAAGTCGCGGAGCGCCAATTTGTACCTATTAAAAGTTCTTGTGTGCACCATCTTGAGAGCGATGAAAATAACACAGCACCTGAAGGCAGATTCACTCACAAAATTGCTTTCCTTTTTTAACAAATCACTGAGTGACATTATAAAATGCATTTACCAGAAAGAGGACTTCCTCTTTCTGAACCTATTCTTCACGGATATATTAAAAATCATGCACATCGTGGTTTCCTTTTACAACGAGAAGATTGAGCAGACACCCAAACAAACCATGCTCTTTTATAAGTGCTTCAATAAAGTTATCGACCAGATCTGTATATACCTTCATAATAAGACATTCTTCAGAGAGATATTCCTCGGGAGGAGGGAAGAACGAACTGCGCATGTGAGGGGGGGTCTCCAGAAGTATGCTCACAATTTTAAGGAAACATGCTACATGTTGTTCTGCTTGTTCTACGCCATTTTGGAAAAGACCAATCTGGTGAATAATGAAATTTTTTTATTTTTCTGCTGCGTGTTAGATGCAGACGAGGAGAAGGTGGTTCTAGAACCCACCAGGGAGATGCAATCAGCAGGCGAATCTGCAGAACCATGTATCATAAAGTCGCTCTACCAGACACTCTGTCTGAACAGGAAGTTCTTGAAGAAGTGCAAGGAAGACCTCCGAGGGAAGAACATCAATCGGATAATCACCATTTTTCTCTTTTTGGAGAAGAAAATTAAAAAGTATTTTTCTTTTTTTAAATACGTCTTTGCCTTTGTGTGGAATAGGTTCAGTGAGGGGGCGCTGAATGGTCAAAGACGGACCCGTCGCCCTTTCCCACTTCCAACGAGAGACTGGCGCACGGCACGTCGTCGCTGCCCCCCCAGCAAACCGCCGAACAAGATGCAAACCGTGATGAACAAAATAAAATATGTCTTATTGGACATGTTCACCAAGTATACAAAATTGCTCATGATTTATAGATTCCATTTTGGCAGATGCAGAGATGTCGGGAAGGAGAAAGAACCGTTCATGGATGAGTTCCTTCTGTATATGAAATCCATTGAGTGCGTCCTGTTTTCTATCTTTGTGTACTGTCCCAATGAGGTGCTAACTAAATTGGACGCGTATGCTACCGAGAGGAGCAAACTGGGCAAGCTGGCCCATGGGGGGAAGAGCCAATTTTCGGCCTTCAACCGGGGGCTGTACTGTTTTGATGAGGAGCAGTGTAACGTTCCGAGCGATTTATCCAGTGGCACGTCGAGTGGAGTAGAAAAGCGGGGGGGAAGCCCTGATAACAGTGATAGTTGGAGTGGCCCATCCCCTGGTAGCCCCTGCCCCGGGAAGAATTCCAAGACAAAGCGCGAGTCGGAGCCGCCGAGTGACGAGTGCGTGACACGCCCGTGCGACCTCATCGTGCTGAACGTTCTGGGAATCATTTACGCAAACATAATGGAGGAGCTGATTAGCCACCGGTATCGATATGTTTATTTTAAGCACTGCCTTGTGCATGCAGAATTTGTGAAGAAGTTGTGGCTCTTCCTGCTGGGAAGTGGAAGGAGTGAACTGGTCCGCATGAAGCAGAAGCATCAGGACGGTAAGGACGGACGGAATGGTGAGAATGGGGCCACCAGGGGGGACGCGAAGCAGGAAGGGGTGGAAATTGAAGTGAAATTGGAAACGGTCGAGAAAATCGATGTGCACATCGGGAAGGACGGAGGGAGCCACCACCTCGAATGCTACTTCGACTTCCCCCCCTACGAAATCCTATGCGTGATAATCATCAACCAGTTAAAGTGTTTTTCAAATGACACATTGAAGTGCTACAAAATATGCACGGCTGTCGTGGAATTCCTTTTCTACATCAGCTCATCAAAGAATCCCTACTTCTTTACCATCTCGAGGAGGCTGTGGAAACTAGTAGGGTGTCAAATGAATAAGTACGAAGAAGCATTGGCCCTGACGATGCTGACGAAGATATTGTTTCACGTGTTGTCTGGCAGAAGTGAAGAAGACTCCGTTCTGCGAAGAATGAGCGAAGGCCTATTTACGAAGACCATTTGGAATAACGACAAACAGCACTTGCTACTTTCCTTTTTGAGGAGGCAATTTTCTATAAATGACGTCGGGAAGAATTATCTCTTTTTCTATGGGACTCTCCTCGGAAGTATACAATCTGAGGAACTGGCCCTGGGGGTGATGCAGGTTTTTTTCGCCACCTTCCATGTGCACCTGCAGTACACCCTCAACGTGCTGCTGCGATTTTTGAATTTGTACGAACGGGGCGTGGAGGCGGCGAGTGAAGCAGCGAGAGAAGAGGCCGGTGAAGAGACTGGTGAAGCGGCGAGTGGTCCATCTGGCAGGGCAGAGCGATGCTCTCCACTTGCGGTGCCCCAGGATGCGGCCGAGGGAAGCACCAGCGAACCGATTGAAGAAGGAAACATAATCTCACTCTTTGTCTACTTTGATCTGGTGAAAATTTTGCCGACCAACTTTCTAAGCATAGTGGAGGATATAAATCTGATGCGTGAGATTCAAAAGACCTTCCTCTTCTTTATATACGTGAGTGATGAGTATAGATTACTGGAACAGCGGGAGGAAGAGCACAAGCTTATGCTGCTAGTGAACAGGATAAAGGGTACTCGCATGCACTACTACCATAACAGTGCAAAGATTTACTTCCCCCTGGTCATATCTTCCCTCATTTCTCATTATCTATTTTTCATCATTAAGGATGGGACATGTCGAATTCCAAGTGGACTCATTTGTAGTTTTTACGAGCATTTTTTTAGCAACCCATATTTGTATACACTGTGTAGTAACCAGGTGTACATGCGTGTGTTGTGTGACTCGTTTGTCATTTTGCAGCATCTTCGAGAGGGCCAAGCGAAGGGGGAATGGAAGCCGAGGGACTTGACGGACCACCAATGGGGTGTTCTTAAGGGACCTGAGGGGGACACCCACAACAGTGATGAAGTCAATGGACATGGCCCGGAGAAACACACCAAGGAGGAACTCACTATTGAGGAAAAAGACGCTGGCAGTGATAAAACGGGGGGGGACTCTTCGAACCAGATGGATACCCTGTCGTCGTGCCTCTTCCAAGTGTACCTACACTTCCTCGAAGATTATGCCACGATGTTCCACGCAGCCATCGTCACGTTGGTAAAGAATAAAATCCTGTGGCGTGGGTGCAGCGAGGGGGGAAGCCCGAAAGGGTCCTCCACAACAAGCTCGATAAACGAAGCTAATACACCGCAGAGGTTAAACGGGGCTATCACTCCGAAACGATTGAATGAACTCACCTTACGGAGCGACTTCGCCTCGATGGACGAGTCGACCTTCTGCCAGCAAATGTACCTCGATTTAAAGAGGGAAGGGAAGTACACCCCGTCGTTTAGCCATTTGATGCAAGCCCTGTTGGACGTTTTTTTTTGTAAACCCGGCATGATATCACGAGAAAGGACGAGGGAGATCTTAGCGAAGGAGGTGGTTCCCCTGGCGGGAGTAGATACCGTAGATAAAGTACATTTACTGCAGGCACGGAGAAATAAATTCCTAGTTACCTTTTTTAGAAACACCTTTTACGTACAAAGCTACGCAGGGGATTACATCAAGGATCGTCTCTCCAAGCTTGTGGGGCCACCCCCCTTCGGGGAGCACCAGATATGTCGTAAAAATTTGGAGGAGTTGGCAAGTTTGGTTTTCTGCGTGGGGGGCGGGGTTGACGTTTGACGGGGTTTTGTACAGAAGGGGGGTGGAAGAGGTTCCCTTTAGAAGAAAATTTTCCTCACCCATTAGCCTTCCGTTCCGTTAAGCTAGACACTCGGGGGCGGCATACACAGCTGCCCCACTTGGAAGTCACTCACTTGGAGTTTCGTCCGTGAGTAGCTTTTTTGGCATATGGTTTGCTGCTGCTTTGCAAATTGCTGCCGTCTTTGCAGCGCTGCACGGCAGCCTGCACCGAAAGCGCATGCCTCATACGTCTTCCCAGTTGTGGAGATGTTTACACTGCAGTCCACTGCAGTCGCGCTTTGTTTCTGTGTCAGCTGGACTTGCTTGGTAAGTACCCGCATTTTTTTTTCTTTTTATTTCCCCGATCGATCAGTTGTTTTTTTTTTTTTTTATAATTGAAACGACACTCTACACATTTACAAGCGGAGTACACTGCTTCAGAGAGGCGTGTAGCTGCAGTTTGTCTGTCCCATGGGGGTGTAAGTTGCCCCGCTGGTATGTTAACCCTTTGGATTCCCTTTTTTTTTGTCCTTCCTGCGTTTTTTCCCCCCCGCGTGCATGCACACATGGCGCACCTGTAAGCGCACAGTTCTGTACACACGCGGGGTGAGCAAAAAGGTGACTTCAAAATGAGAGGAACGGGGAAGCGCATTCCGTTTTAACGTAGGGTGATGATTCTTGGCCATTGATCGATCGATTGATTGGCTGATTGGCAGATGGACTGATTGACCGAATGGCTGATTTTTTTTTTTTTTTTTTTTTTTGCACTTTTAGTGAGCCATCCAGCTTCGTTGCTAACTGGGTGTTTTTTTTTTTTTCTTGCTTTCTTTTTTTTTTTTTTTCCCCTTCTCTGTTCCAAACGAGGAAAGTCTAATGCTATGGCACATTTCGCTGACCACATAAAGGGACGCACACTAAGGAAGCCTAGATGTGTAGGAACTTTCCTTGCCAAAGGAAATGCATTCGCCTCTGCTTTCTTTTCGGCTGCATCCCCGTTTTGCTACTCGTAATGGTAACCTTAATCTGAACGATCGCAAGCTTGGCTCATCTTTTTTAATTGATTGGAGCGCGCGAGGGCAGCGAGGAAGCATAATAATGGGAGTAGCATCAGGTGTGCACGGGGCGCGACGTGACATGAAGCGATGCAACACAACGCGCCAGAAGAGGTAGCGGAAAGAAACCGAATAGGTTGAAAAGGTGGAAGAGGTGGAAAACGCGGAAGAGATAGTAAAGGAGAGACCACCCACTCACCCCGAACGGCGGCGAAGGAATACCCGACAAGGGCAGATTAAGTAACCTGCATTAGACAATCCTTCTTATTGCGTCACCAGTGACTCGCGCGAAGAGGACCTAGTAACACGCAACAAGCACAGACACCATTTCAGGGGTCACCCGTCAACACATTGGGCTGGCCCAATCCCCACGTAAGAAGACATACCCCCGGAGGCGGATGCGGAGAGACCAAGCCGCCTCCCCCCCCACATACCAATGCACCAATATAATGGGTAATGCTGTGGTGCTTTTCTTCCGAGATTGCTGCAATAAGTTTTTTCGTAAACAGATAACCTTCCAAATTAGAATTTGTGGCCCAGCGCAAAGTGGGAAAACCACTCTAGTCAAGTACCTCAAGCACAGCCGATTTTTGAGGGTCAAGCCGACGGAAGGTGTGTGAAGTTAGGCGGGCTGCCTCTGAGGGGCCTGGAGTGAAGCGGGGTCATTTTTCACCCCCCGTTAGTGGCTGCTTCGCGAAGGGACAGCCGGGTTCTGCCTCCCTATGATCTGTCAAATTTTGACAACACTCTGTAAATGTTCCCCAACACCATATTTAACTTCTGCCACTACGTGGTCTCACTCGGTCACTCTTACTGCCTCACTCTCACCCCTTCACTTCTTCACCCCTCCTCCCCTTTCGCTAGGCCTCCTGCCGGAAAAAATCGACTTCGAAGAATTTTCAATCATAATATGGGACTCCCGTTACAGCATAGACGACGACGTAACTCACAAAAAGAAAAAGCAATAAAATAAAGAAAAAATAAATAAGAAAAAAACGAATAAAAAAGAAAACGAATGAATAAATAACACACCCGTTTAGCGGATCTCATCAGCCGAACGGCGTCTTCCCCGACTATGACGATGATTGTTTCCCTTGCCATGCACCCGAGTTACTCCTTCGTTGCCAAGCCACATAGTTGCTGAGTTAACGATACACTTGATTCCTTTTCCCCATTGCGCAGACGTCCATTAACAGACTAGACATCGACGCGGTGATTTACTGCATTGACCTCTCTGATCACGGGAGGTTAAAGATAGGTAATGCGACGAAAGAAAGAGTGAAAAATGAGAAAAAAGAGAAAAAAAGAATAAATGCGCAGGGGCGAAGATGCACACTACAACGCGCCACACCTCCCCCTGTTCGAGTCGCCTCACAGCTTTCCCTCCACCCGCGCAGCGAAAAAGGGATTCTACAAGGTACTGCAGGATTATAACCACATTGATGATTTTCTAGTCGTGGCAAGCAAACAGGACAAGAAGAGCTGCATGCTGCTGCAACATGTCAGGAGTGAGCTCAAGATTGACCACATCATCGATAGGAACTGGTAAAAAAGAAACTAAAAAAATGAGGAAAATAAAAATAAATAAATAAAAGAGAAAAAATAAACGAATAAACAAATCAATAAATAAAAGGGGACTTCGTGGGATTGGTCATCCCCAGGAACACACAAATGTTCCCGTTCCAATACGGCACCAACCCTACTTACACGTGTGCACTTAATTTATTGCATCCTTTTCCCCCTGTCCTTGGAATAGGCACTTAGCAGAATGCTCGTCCAAAACTGGATACGGTGTGGAGCCCGCGATGAACTGGCTCTTCAATCAGCTAATGAACCGCCGCAGGCGCAATTTGTGTTTCATAAAATAAATGCATGTTAGTATGTTACCTCCTGATTGGAGGTAGCACTGTTGCCAGTAGGAGGGGCTGCTCATCTGCCCCGCGCCATCACACCGTGGAAGCAGCAATCCAAGCAACAACCGAATCAACCCCGACCCCTTTTTACTGTCCCTTTTGTTTAATCATTGATTGCACGTACTCATTTGAACCGGGTCAACATTGCTAACAATTTTATTCTTCATTTTTGTAAAAATTTTAACCCACCCCTAAAAAAAAAAAAAAAAGCCAAATAAAAGAATGTGAGAAAAAATTTGGTGTCATGGCGAAATGAAAGGGGGGTAACCAACACGGGGATGCAATTTTCCCAGTGCACTGAAGGTACCCCTATTTAAGGGCCAGGGGGGGAATTTCGTTCCTAGAACCAACACGAGTGGAATTCCGGGCACATGTTCCACTGTGGTGTATGAGCCTTGCCCTGGGTGGCTTCGAACCCCAATGCCTACTCTCTGTACCTTCCCTTTTTATGAAAAAAAAATTTGGTACCTCCTATGATTTGCACCATTCAAGGCTACGTAGCAGTGGTGTCCATAGTGTTAACGAAAAAAAAAAGAAAAAAAAAGATCCCCTAGGTGATCAATAGCCTGTTCGTTTGCAAGACCAAGGCCGCCCATATGCTACTTGGATGCAAGTTGTCTCTTACGTCCTTTTTTTTTTTTTTTTTTCTTTTTTGCGGCCCACTTCTTCTTGCCACGGCAAAGTGAGCATGGCTCCCGCAGCAGGCAACAATTTCATGCTAGTGCAGCCATGAGCGCCCTGTGTGCAAGCAGGGGGGTGGGGTGAGTACCTCCATCTGCATCGACGCGTGCATAAGTGTGTTTGGTAAAGCGATGGGTGCGGGGAAGAAGCTGTGAATAAGCAGAGGAAGCAACGGTAAGTGTTGCAGTCCAAAATGTGGGGAGCGACTCTGTATGTAGCTCAGCTACTACTGTTGCTAACGCAGAGCCTCCAGTGCAGGAAGAGGCATCCCCACCAGGGGTACCTAAACGGGATTACCCACCCCGCACCTAGACATGACAACAGAAGCAAGATAAGTAAAACCTACGCAAGAAAAAAAAAAAAGGATAAAGAAAAAGAATACTATGAGAATTTTTTTAGAGAGCTGGATAAAATATTTAATGATGAAGATGATGAGCAGAAGCAGGTGAGGGAAGAGGAGAAAAGGAAGGAGGAGGAAATGGACGCGATAAGTGAGAAGGACCTTCTGGAGGTGAATTTTTGTAACTATGAGAGGGACCCCAGGAGCTTGGCCAACTTGGTCAGGAATAGGACAAAGGAGGAGGATGGTGCAGACACAGGCGGGAAGGCTGGAGCTAAAGGGGAAACTCCGTCTGAGGAAGTTTCTTCCACCCATGGAAGGCACAAAGAGACCATGCCATACAGCTACGACTACGAAAGAGTGCTGAAGGGGAAGGAATACCTGCCAGAGAAGATCCTCCTAAAGGAGAAGTTCTCACTGCAGGAAGACGAAGAGAAGCTAGTCGATCGAGTAGACGTGAACACGATGAATGATTTTTTGAGTAACTACCAAAATGACTTCGAGGGGCCTTTTTACAAGGGACGCAGGGATAGACATTTCGGTCGAGAGGACCTCCAAGGGGGGGAGTCCGCTTCGGAATGGAGCGAGGAGAAGAAGTTAAGCGGTCCCACAAGCGCAGAGGTGGATATAAAGCATGGTAGTACAAGCGAAGAGGTGGATATAGAGCATGATGGTACAAGCGAAGAGGTGGATATAGAGCATGATGGTAGTAAGGACCAGCTGGAAAGTGTGGACTTCTTGAGGAAGATCCGGCGCCAGTTTGACCTGGAGCGAGGCGGCGACATTGACGAGGCGGTGCGGCAGGTGGAGGGGCACTTCACGCAGGGGAGCGTCGCAGGGGAAGGCGATAGGGGTGACGATGGGGATGGCGATAGAGACTGCCATACTGATGGAGGACAGATGGAGGGACGCCCCTTTGAGAGACACGTGGAGGAGGAAATCGAAAGGCGCGGCAAGGACGACGAGACTGTGGACAAACTGATACGGAGCAAATTCATCGACATGTTTAAAGTGGACGATGCGGTTAAGAAGACAAATGAACAGATAAAAAAAAGCCAAAGTGTGAGTACACTACTGGAACTCTTCAGTGAAAACAAACCAAAAAATATAGTTAACATTATGTATATGTTTATGTATATTTGCAGATTTCAAAACGCAAATATCATGGAATATATATATGACAGAAGATTTTCCTACTTAACGGATACCCTTGAACAGTTGTTGAAATTTTACCTGTACATGTTCAGAAAAAAAATGGACTCTTCTGTAGGAAAGACGGAAAGGACAGTAATTTTAAACAGTAGGAATATTATCTTTTTACTGAAATATATGAACAAGTTGAAATTATTTTACATCAATTTGAATATTTACAATTTGCTATTCTTGATAATGTCTCAATCGCTTCACCTGTTTAGCATAGACTCTTTGGTGATTCTCTTGGCCTACTTAAATGAGTACTCTTACTATGGGAATGATGTTCATAAGAAAATAAATCTGTCTATTTTCAGAAGAATCTTCGAACTTGTGCGGGTCGACGGTTCGAATTTGTCCAGACTGCACTTCGGCCACTTCAAGTTGCTCGTGCCGCTGTTGGTGAAGCACAGGTATGTCGGCCAGGTCAGCGATGTTGGGGAGGTTAGCGGTGTTCACCGTGTCAGAAGTGCTGCCGATGTTGACGACGCCGCGTCCCGCCTGGTGTCCCACTTCTCCAAGGACACCGAGCGCGCAATTGAAAGCGTGCGCCGTGGGCAAACATCCTCTCGCAGCAACGACATCTGCGACGTCCTCTTCTACGACTCCAAAACGAAAGAGGAAAAAAAAAACAGAGAAAATTACATGACCTATCTGGAGCACCAGCACATACAGCAGAGGAAGAAGGACATAAAATTTCTATACAGTTTTATGCAATACTTAATGATTGGTAATTTTTCCCAAGGGAAGGAAACTGTGCAAAGACTAGTGGATTTATTTCTGGGCAACCTTTCCCTCTTCCAAGTGGAAGATGTGCTCACCATTTTTTTCAACTCCGAACAGCTGCATGATGGAGAGCAGTACAGCTTGCTGCTAACCCAGTGCAAGCGGGAGTTGCTTCAACGGAAGAGCCTGCTGAAGGATTTCCAGATAAATCAGGTGCTCTCCTTTTTCATACTGGGCTATAGGAGGAGCGTCCTCTTCCGGGACTACCACCGTCGCTTGTTTGCCAATGCGCGCTATGTCCTGCGGAGGGGTCAACCCAAGGAGGGAAAATCTCCCAGTGTGGACACGTTACCCCGCCTGGACACATTACCCCGCCTCCTATCCTGCAGAAGCCAAATGCGATTTCTGCAGCGGAAGCACCTCCTTAGCAGCAATGCGTTTAGAGATCCCCAGTTCCTCTACGACTTCACACACGACATACACATCTTTGTAAGGTTTAAAAATCTGCACCTCCTCAAATTTGTCTACAATATGTACCTTCTCAGTCTCCTTTACTACAAAAATGCCGATGTTCTTCGCATCGTATCAGAAGTATCACAGGATTTAATAGAAACTAATATCTTTTCCTTCCTTGATCAGTACGGTTACTATATGTACGAAGACCTCTACATAATCATTAAGGCATTCAAGTATGTGTCCTTTTTTCAGATAAATTTAATTGATCCATGGAAGAAGTTTTTTTTTCTTCTGGAGCAATTTTCAAATGCATTAAATTTAGAGAATATTTATGACATATTCTTTTTCATTAACATTTGTAAGCTGCAAAATCTCAAGTGCGAAAATTACGACGTTTTCAGAATGCTCACTGGACGCATGAAACGTATTTTGGAGATCCTGGACAGACACGACCTTCACCAGTTTAGTACGCACCCCCACACGTACCTCCTGAACATTTTCAGCCTCGTTCGGGAGAAACGTAACGAACATGTGTGCGCCTTTGCACAGGCGTTTTTCTACTCCGTGTATAGGCGGCTATGCGGGGAGTCGGAGAAGGGCTCCACTGAGAAGGGCTCCACTGAGAATATTCCCAGTGAGAAGGCCTCCGGTGAGAATATTCCCAGTGAGAATATCTCCACTAAGAAGATTCCTACTGAAAATATTTCCAGTGAAAAGCTCCCCTATGACCCGCGGGAGGCCTACCGACGAGTCAACCCCCGCCCATACAACTTCCGAGACGCTCGACTGTTCCTGCAAGCATTCCTATCCTACCACAACGAAAAGCAGGAGCATCTAAATTTGCAGATTGTCCATTTCCTCCTCTTCAATGTAGAAGAGTTCTTCTCTCAGCTGCGCCAAACTGTGCACTACTACCACAGTGGCTACATATATGGGGCCCAGATGGCGGAGTTTCTCTCCTTGCTACGCCAACTGGTTGACAGGAAACTGTACAATGGACACATCATGCGCACTCTTGTCCTCATAATTAAGCACATGATACATATCCAGGGGGTTCACAATGGCCGTGATTATGCCAGCGGGGGGAACATTTTTAAGCCCTTCTTTGCGGATTTCCCTCAGGTGACGGATGCCAACGTGTGGCGCTTCCTTCGGCGGCACGCGCCGCTGAGGTTCCAGGCGTAGGCCACAGGGGGAGGATTACGCGGGGGGTTAGAAAAATCTGTTTCGAATTTTTTTCATTTACTCAATTTTTTCATTTACTCCATATTTTCACTGTTTCATTTGTTCATTTTTTTCCCCCACTTGGAATTTTTCTTTTTTTCGTGTGTGCAACTGCTCCCAGGGAATGTGCCCTTCCCCCCCACACACACTGGTCTCATCTGCATTTTGTTAAACCAAATGGTTTATACATGGTGGGGTTCACACAGCGTAAAAATTAATTCTTCTTTTTTTTTTTTTTCTTCTTTTTCTTACCCCTTCCGGGTGTTGTATTCCCGACGGGGGGCACTCCCATAATGGTTGTCAGTTATCGCTTTGGGGAATACGCAGGCCTACATACCACACACACACACACGGGCAGGCAGACATATATACACACATAGACACAAAAAGGGTGATATCACCCCCCAGGAGTGAAAATTGCACGTCCCTTTCTTTACATTCTCCCTTGTAACTGCCTAAATGGAGGGTCTGCTCCCCACAGGGACTGTCCCTTATCCAGATGGCATATACAACCGCGCGGTCCGCTAAACTCCGTGTTCCTTTTCCCCGACGATGTGCATACATGCCGAAACACCTAGGGGGATAAAACTTATAGAGTAATACACGCATGATTGCATACCAGTTCCTGCGAAAATGTATAATTCTTTGCACAAACGGTTAAGTACACTCAGGAGTACCATTCGAGTCCCCCGCCGGTCAGCCCCTTTCCGCCATAGTTGCTTCAAATTCGGGGGACACAAAAAAAAAAAAAATGACAAATTTTCCCCGGGAGAATATTTATTGGGAGTATCTCCTCGGGATATTTTTTTTTTCCCCTGCAAGATTGCAATTTAAAAAAAAAAAAAAGTGCCATGCACTGGTTAACATGCAGTAGCCTCCCGCCGTCCAACACGAACGGAAACGCGAACACAAACACAAACGAGCAATTTAGCACGCGCCTGTTTCCTTTTCTTTAGATCTCCATGGCTGAACATGCACGTGAAAATATGAGCGACTGGAGATGACTCGTGTTCTTTCCTTTTGCTGCACGTAATGTCATCTCGCTTTGCCTTTCCCCACACAGAACTTCGCTTCAGATGAGTTTGATTTCTCCCTTTTGCTGTGTATTTCTCTCTTTTCCTCTGTTTTTTTTTCTTTGTTTTTTTGTTTTCCTTTGAAGGTTCCCCCCCGTCTCACGTGCCCCTGTGCAGAATTATCCCCGCCCTTTTGGAGCCAAACCGAGCGGGGGGACGGAAACTGAGGAAACCGCCGAACGTTACCCGGAGGAGTTCTCGGACAGTGAACGCGAATTTTCCACCCCTACAGGCGTGGCGCCAACGAGACTGCACGAGGGCACTGACGCATCCTCAAAAGGGAAAAGCACACGTACCGACCACTGGGGACCGACACCTTTACAGACACGCCGCCAACGCTGCTGAGAGGGAGAGGTGTGCATCCCGGCATGTGACTACAGCGCAGTAGGGCCAATTCGGATCGTAAAACTTTTCCCAATTGGCTGCAGTTAGTGTAAAGTTAGTTTTTTTTTTTTTTTTTTTTCTTATGCCCTCCCCAAAATGAGTGACTGCGAAAGCTTCATCTCCATCGACAACACCAACAACGATGACACAGCTACGAGCGAAGAAAAGCAACCCATCAACCTGGACAAGTTCTTGGACTACGACATAGACTTCATCAATGGGTCGGACAGGTACAAGTACGTAGGAGCAGACATAACGCAGAGATATGACTACTTCGACATAAAAAATGAGCGCGTGGCATTTCTCCAGGGAGATAATGTCAAGTATAGCAACATCGCTCTGGGCAACCGAAAAAAGGAACAGGTAAACACCTTCATGAAAATAAAAAAAGAATTGTACACCATAGCGTATAAGAATTATAAGTATAAAATGGAGGAATCGGCCGACACGGAAAAAAGAACCGTGGGGGAGGAACTCGATAGTGCAGGGGAGACATCCGCGTGGGCCACCGCTACAGGGGCAGCCGCTTCTTTCTTCAGTGATGGCAGCACAAAATGGAAGGATAAAGGAGAAAAGGCGTACGACGTGCTGAACAATGATTTGGGAGCCGTGCTGGGGAACAAAATCGAAGACACCTACAATGAAATAAAAAGTAGCGTCAATTGGTTGGGCAACTTCTTCTCCAACAATGAACAAAGTGATGAGAAAAAAAAAATAAATATTTTCTACAGTGATTTATACTTCCTTAGTGACATCACCATTTTGCGATTTCTGGACACGTACGATTATAATTTGCTAAAAACGTCCAATAAAATTATAAAATTTATTTTGTGGAGACAAATGACCATTTCGGTTTTTAACAAAAGCCAGTGGAAGATAAAGAGGGGGACAAGCTCGATGGAACGGGGGAAGGACGAGGCCATGGCGTCTATGGCGACCGCATCAGCGATAGCAACAACGACTTCTTCCGCGACGGTGACCAAGTGCAGCGCTAATCCGATCGGCAACACGGGGGATCGAGACAACGCCTTCATCAACCCTGTGCACATTAAGGACATTCTAATGAAGACCAACATCTTCAGGTGCGGCTGTGATAAAAAATCCAGACCCATGCTTTATATAAAAATACAGGAAAAATTAAACATGGAAGAGGATGAACTATTCCTGCTGCTCGTTTATCATGTCGACATGTGCATGAACAGCATTGACTATTCAAAATGTTACGAAGAAAAGGGAAAAGCAAATAGTGCGAATGGAAACACGGAGGGGACATCCCAATTCGATGAGTCCACTTTGCAGCTAGTCATCATTGTAGACTGCCAAAAATTTGAATTAAATAATATGATCAGCGTTGATTGCATTAAAAAGATAATTAACATTTTTAACGAATTTTACACCGATGTTCTGTACCGAATTTATGTTATAAATGTTCCCAGCTTTTTTAAAAAAGTCTGGTCCCTTTTTAATATGTTTATCGATAATCACACATTGAAGAAAATTATGTTTATAAATAAAAAAAACATCAGCTTGATGTACGACCATATTGATGCACACGTCATGAAGCATTTCGATAAACACGCCGATAAACACGCTGAGAAAGACAAAGACAAATCCGCTTCCGACTCCTCCTACCTTTTCTTCCCCTCCACCTCCCTGTACTATAAGTACGACGAGATGTACTATAAGAAGCTCATTGGTTACGTGGACACTTGGGTGGGTAGGATGGTCCAGGCTAACCACTGAGCGTGGGGGGGGAGGAGAAGTGCCCCCTGTTGTTATACTTTGTCCTGCGCGTTGTATGCAGCTTCTTTTTTCTTTTTTTTTTTTTTGCCGAGATAGCCAAAATGGAAGGCACACAGCGCCATTTCACCTTGCTTGTTCATACTTTTTCTCAATTTTGTAAAATTTTGCGCCTTTGTTTGTACGAAGCGATGGGATGCATTTTTCTTCACTTTTCTCTTTCTTCTTTTCTTCCCTCATTTGGTTTAGACACCCATTCACGCACAAAGCGGTTTCTGCGTCTATTTGTTCCCCACTTTGTGGTTGCCTACCTGAGAATGCACGAAATGTAGACGAGAATTGGTACCCACCCTTCGTTGCAACCGAGAAGAATTAACGCGCGTAAGTGATGTGTGAGTCGATGTCCCCCGTTTCCCGGTGTCCTCCACTGCCGCGAAGTGTTGGTTGTTACCACACAAGATTTTCATTCCTGTTGTTCTTGTTGTGGCTTCCAAACTTGTTTGTATGTTTTTTTTTATTCTTTTTTTTACCCTTTCCCCCCCTCATAAGTGTTTATTCCCTCGCCTACTCTCGAAAAAGGGTAATCTGTTCCATGCTGTGATTTGTGCTTACATTATTTCAATTCGCAAACTTTTTTTGAGAAATTTTGTAACAGTCCTTTTTCATCTTCGCGAAATGGATCTCTTGGGAGAGCTGATCGCGGGAACGTTTCACGCTGGGTGACAATTTAAGAAGGAAAGACAAAGAAGAAGGAACATATCCAAACGGGGACACCATCGTTACGCAGTTGGCACTTTGAGAGCGGTGAAGCAAACTGGCCGAACTGGCTGAAGCGGTTTGTTCCCATTTGAATTTACCCTTTTCGGGGGGGGGTTCTCCTACGAGTGGGAAATGGCAACCTTTCTGCCTTTTTTTGCTGCTTTTTGTCCTAAAGGAAACCTAATGTGATGTTTATTGTTTTACACAAAAAAGGCCCGCTTAATCATCTCTACGTGGCAACATCCAGGTGAATCCTCCAGAATGAGAGGGTCGTACCGAGCACCAATTGGAAGCACGTCAAAATAATGCTCTTTTTTTTTTGTAAACTCATTCTACGCACGTGTATGTGTGTGTAGCCAAATTGATCCGCTTAAAATGTTGTCAAAAATTAAAAAAGAAAAAAAGGCGCCAGCGTTAAAATATGAAGAAGCATTGTCACGCGTGATGTCAGCCTGTGTAATGTGATGTGTCCTAAATACATCGCACCGTCGAATTGGAGGTACAAGTGATTAGTTTTTTTTTCTTCTTCTTTTTTTTTTTGTTTTTACACATGAGATGCGCTAGGTGTAAGCGTGTAAGGGAGAGGAGATGAAAGGAGGTCCTTTATTCTCCTTCACTTGGGGTCTCTTGCGGGGGGCAAGATATATCGGTAAAGAGAGACACCTGAGGTGCTATACGTGTGTACAGTGGAAGCAAAGCTATGCATGGTGATAGCAGATGTATACATGGTGACATCAAAGTAACGCATAGTGGCAGTGTACGTATGCATGGTGACAATGCACGTAAGTACACGGCTCTCCCGGATGGCTTCCCTCCTCCCACCCACTTCCTCACGGCGTGAACTTCTTATTGCTGAATATAAGGTTGTCGCTTATGCGGCCTTCCTTGATGGTGTTAAAGGAGCGCACGTCGAACTTGAGGTCGCCCGAGTACAATCTGGAGTGCAATTCAGGGATGTTTCTAATACCCATGCTCTGGAAGCCATGCTTAACAGCCTTAACAAGATGAGGAATCAAATTGAGAACCGATCCTTTGTCCACTAAGCTAGCTGAGACCCCTTGAGATACTTTTATTTCTTCAGTCTGATCACACAGTGCATCATTTTTTCTCTCTTCTATGAGGTATCTACTTTTCGAATTAAATCCTTTGTTGTACATGGCTTCCATGCTACCCATTCCTCTGTATATTTTTAGACGGACATTATTTTCAAAATAGTAATCACTACAACTTTCCTCCGTTGCAGCTAAGAGGTTTCCCATCATGACGAAGTCTGCACCAACGGACAAAGCTTTGACGATATTCCCAGAGTTTTTAATCCCTCCATCAGCAATCGTCTTAATATTTCTCGTGTGGGCATAATTACTTACATGGTACACAGCGGTGCCTTGAGCTCTTCCAATGGCACATACATCTTGCGTGGTACAGATAGAACCGCTACCCATTCCTATTCGCAACACATCAGCTCCTGCATCTATTAGATTTTTCGCCTGATCACATGTAACAACATTTCCTCCAATAATTGGAATCTCCGGGTGAGCTGCTTTAATCTTTTTAATCGTATCAATCTGGTATATGCTGTTCCCTTGAGACGCGTCGATACAGATAATATCAATCATATTTTTTATGAGCTGACTGGCCCTCTCCAAGTCATGTTCCCTGGTAGAAATGGCAGCTCCTACGATTAGCTGCTTATTCTGGCTTTTAGAAGCATGAGGAAATATCTTATTTTTGTGCATATCGTTTCTGCAGACAAGGGCTATTAACTCGTAATTATTATTGACGATTGGAAGGATGCTTTTTTTTTCTTCACACAAGACTTTATTTGCATCGGACAGATTGATGGGATAGTTTCCTGTAACGACTTCCGTCGTCATGATGTCTTTTATTTTTTTCGTTTTATCGCTAAGGTACAGATAGTCTACCCCTGTAATGATTCCAACTAATTTTGAACCCACTTTTCCATCTACCGTTATTGGGTACGATTTGTAGCCAACTTTATTTTTCGTTGCGATCACATCTGCGACGGTGTGTTCTGGGGAGAAGGTGTACGGATCGAATATGAATCCGTTTTCGAATCGCTTCACTTTTTTTACTTCTTCTATTTGATTCTCTATGCTCATGTTGTTGTGGATGATTCCCAGTCCTCCACACAGAGCTAGCGAAATGGCCATTTTATGCTCCGTCACTGTATCCATGGGGGACGATATGATGGGTGTCTTCAGAGATATCTCGGGAGTCAAGTTATTGCAGAGGTCGATCTCGCTCATTGGGAAATTAATGTACCCTGGGAGGCAGATAATATCGTCATAGGTGTAGGACATGACGTCCCCGAAGATCTTCTCCGCGGGCCATCCGTTCGCCATCGTGTCTGAGGGGGCAATGCGCAGGGGGGAGAAGTACACAGGGGGGTGTCCGCAGCAAGTAGATCGCGGCAATCTGATCAATGCAAGCGGATCGCGGCAATCTGATCAATGCAAGCGGATCGCTGCAATCGGATCAATGGAAGCAATTAGGAGGGGGCAGTTCGGCTTGTCTCCAAATGGACGCACGTTTGCATATATGGGCAGCCCTGCGGGGGGGCTAACTGGACTGAGGCATATCTCCGTGCGGAAGACTCTCCTCTGGAAGGGGCCCAAATGAGGTTACTTCTCCCCTTTTCTGCTCAGCGGAGTGGAGTCAGAATTTAAAAAATGGGATCAGACAGGAAGGGAGCCAAATGCTTCCGCTGGCAGGTCCTTGGGACAGGTGAGACATCTGCTTGCCCGCTTCGCCACTTCGCTATTCTTCTCTATTGTTCGCTACTAGGGGAAGGGGTCCCACGGAGCAGAGGTTTGCAAAATGGGTCGTGGACGGGGTTGACCATTCGGGAAAGAAGTGGTGCAGTTAAGGAGGGGGAAAATAAAAAAGGGAAGAGAAGTGTCGCCAAAAGGAAGTAAAAAAATGGTAAAAAATGAAGAGATGAAAAAAAAAAATTCCCGCTTGTGCCTCCTTAAACGTAGGGAACACAGAGATGCCTTTTATATGTAATCCCTCGGGCGATGCTCTCTTCAAATTTGTGTTTTTAATAGCACTGTGGGGAGAGTTCCTCTTGGTGCCAGATGCAAATGCCGTGAGGCTCACTTTGGAGAAAAAGGCATTTTGTATGTGTTAGTGCGGAGGTCGAACTAATTTGCCTTACGAGGTTATTCATATATAGAGATGATTTTTTTTTTTTTTTTTTAAAATCATCTTCTTTAACGTCCGTTAAGGTGGCTTCCGCTCCTGGAGTTAGAGGCTGTGGTTCCTTTTGCGGGGTGACGCGGCCGGGGCGCCTGCACGCGAGCTATACGCGCTCGGAAAAGGGGGGGAACATTTCAGCACACAAGGGCTCGTGTGCATTTAAATCATTTGACCATATTTACAACCGTAATGCAATGGTGTGGAGAAACCCAGCCGAAAGTGCGCGGCGGTATCCCTCCTCAGCTCCTGCGTGGAGCGCCAAAATTGCACACACAGTGGTGTGCCGGCTAGTCATGTGGCAGGAATGCATTTTGCTAACCCTTCTCCGTGGCATGGAGAGGGGAAACATGCATGCGGGCCCCAGCGGGTAGGTTTAGCGGATTAGCCGCTTCGCCGATTAGCCGATTGGAGGCATAGCCATTAGGGCGCTTTGGCGGCACATAATTGTATCTTCAAACATGCCTGCTATTCCTATTGTTTTTCTTTTGTTTTTTTTTTTTTTTTTTTTATTCCTTTGCAACGGGCTAATACTTTCCCCCCTCGAAAAGGATACGCCTTAACAGCCCTGCCGCGATTGCTTTTCCTTTTTTTCTTTTTCTTTTTTTGGGCCACTCTGGCAGATGGCTAATTTTGTTTCTCCATTTTGATGCCTCACAAAGGGAACTTAAACAATGAAGAGAGAATGTAGCTAGGCATAGTGGCGCACCACGCAATGGACCATAAAAATAAATGGGAGAAAAGCTAAACGAGGTGACAAAGGAAAGAGGAGCCACTCCCAATATCAGTGACCTCACGACATTGATCGCACCCCATCCACCACCACGTTTCCTCCACTCTGTTGTATCCATCATACGCAAAAAAGAAAAAATTATTTTACGAATTTGCTCTAACCTAGGAAAACCATGTCAGACAAGGAGCTAAATATCAAGAGGAGAAAAGTAATTAAGGAGGATGGGAAGATGAATGACGAACCGGGTGGCGCAACTTCGCTAAACATTTCGGAGGGCGAATACGTTTTGTTGGCGGACGACGAAGAGGACAGCCACAGCAACGCCGCGGATAGTGATGATGCCGCTACACATAGCGATGATAGGGGCCAGAAGGGGGGTAGACATGTGAAGAAACACTACCTAATTGAGCACATGGAGGATAAGAGCAAACTGCTAAGCGAGGTAGCCACGCTGGAAGAGAACAAGCTATACGTGAAAAACATTACCGATGAGATTACCAAAAAGGATCTAATTGATTTCTTTTGCAACGCAAGTGGGTTTGTAGACACGAGGATGGTGAGTGACTCCTCAGGGAAATCCAGACATTTTGCTTACGTGGAATTTGACAGTAAAGAAAATGCAGCCAATTTTTTTGGCACCCTAAAGGATAGCAACGTGGAGAAGTACAAGACATTCCAAATAAAAGACGTCCATCTCTATGTGGCCGTCTGCAACTCGACCAAAGTTATATACGAGGAGAGGAAGATTTTTATTAAGTTTGCTGAGTGTGAGGCGGATATGGCGGACATGGATGACGTGGTCATTAAGAAGGCCCTTTCTGATTTCCTCGCGGGTCACGCAGTGGACGTGGAAGAGATCCGCCTCCTCGGAGGGAGCCCCCCCACGTAAGAAGTGATGAGACGTCGGCACGGAAGCGAACTGCAGGCGAGCTGCTCCGTCCGTCGCATCAAGCAGTGCAATGGCTGTGTAGCGGCAACGCCTCTGTTCGCGGCCCCTATACACCGCCCTTATACACCGCTCCTGTTTTCCGCCCCTCCGCAGGCACGGTTACCTCCAAGTGCGCAACAACGAAGACGTAGTAAAATGCGTGGAGGTCATCAAAGAAGGGACCGTCGAAAACGTGCACTTCACCCTAAACTACAGCATCCCAATAATTAAGAAGAAAATCATCCCGGACCTGGAAAAAATTAAAGCAAACAAGGAAAAGAACAAGGAGAAAAATAAAAAGCTCCAGGAGGAAAAAAAAAAAGAGGAAAACAACTCCACCATCGTTGTAAAGAATTTGCATTTCAACACCAGGAAGTATAAACTGAAAAAATTATTCGAGCAGATCGGCGAAATTGAAAGGATCCATCTGAGTAAGAAGGTGTCCGAAAAGAATATTAAACGGAATAGAGGCTACGCTTTTATTACATTTAAAAATACCAATGACGCCACGTCTGCATTGATTCTTAACGATTCTGTTATCGACGGCCGAAGCATTCTGGTGTCTAAGTTTCTCGATGACGATAGTAGGGGCAAGCATAGAGAGGGAAGCAACCACCTGAGTGGGAAGCTCCATGGGGAGCAGGACACGGAGGAACACCCCTCACGAGGGGGAAGGAATAACACCAATAGGAGAGGCAACTACCACCATGTAAAGCAAAACGTGAGGAGTAATCATCATCAGGAAAGAAAAAGAATCAATCTGAACAAGCCAGCCGATCCAAACATAGCAGTGGAAAAAAGAACCGATCAGACAGAGGGAGGAGGACCCACTCCACTAACCAACGATGATTTTCGAAAATTTTTTTTTAAATAATTTAGTCATACTTTTTTTTTTTTTTTTTTTCCATTTTTTTCTTTTTTAATTCATAGTATGTTTTTAAAAAGGTTTACATGAACGTGTATGCACACGAGCAAAATTTTGCAAAAAAAAATAAAAGAACCTTTTTTTTTTGTTGTTTCCAATGCTTCCATCGTTTGACACTTTAGGCATCCTATATTGACGCGGCGAGTGATTGCAGCCACTACGTGGAGGTGCGCGAAGATGCAGTAGAGGAGACGGTTGACATGACTCTCTCCGCACAGCTGCCAACTGGAGTAGGCTGCACCCGATTAGCACATCCGGGCGAGGGCCCGAACCTTCTTCTTGTACTCGTTTAGGTTATTCTTTATTTGAACCTGAAGGGAGGGGGTATCATTATCAGATGGAATGACCTTACAAAGTGGACAATAAAATGGCAGTAGGAAGAAGGGAGGAAGGGAAAAAAAAAAAAAAAAAAAAAAGTCGCAGGGGTGGATATATGTGTGAATGGGTAACATCTTCTTCGGTGAGATCACGACGCTTCCAAGATTATGCGGGGCACACCTACAGACACATCATTGTAGCCATACCGCCGCGTCCACATTGGCAGGAGATTCAAGGTTGGGCTCGTTGAGCATCGAAATGACGCTGACTAAAATGCCTTCCACGGACCAGATGGGTCTCCACCGTTCCTCCGACTTCTCCTGTTCGTTGTAGATATCGACACCTGTGGGGGGGGAGCATAAAATGGGGAAGCATAAAATGGAAACGTGGAAAACAACGAGACAACATACACACAGCCATGCCCACGTGGTGCAGTTTCCCCTTCTTTTTTTTTTCCTTTTCTCCCTCTTGCATGTACCTGGAGGGTGCAATATGCTTATGCACACTCTTCCATCCGGGAAAACTAAAACGACACAAGGGGAAAAAGAAAAAGGGGCGTTCGACACGATGAGTATGTGACGCTAAAATGGGCACGTATTAATTTCAGCACATTAATTGGACGCCCTTCAAATAGTGATGCCCAAACGAAGAAGCAAAATGACGGAAAAGAGGAGAAAACCATTTGGGTGCCACATGTCCTGGGTGAACTTCATTTGGGGGGGGTGGTTTGGAAAATCCGTGGGAAAGGAAAGGGTGGCATTGTATATACCTCCTGCGAGGAAGAAGAAGAAAAAAAAAAAAAAGTGATGATACGTAGGGGGAAACAGTGCCTAGGCGCGGGGTAACCACCTCTCATGGTACACCTTTTCGTATGCACCTCTTGTCCACTAGCAGTATTTAAACAAAGAAGAGAAAAAGATGACCAAAAGGCTAGGAGATGCTTTGCCATGTTAACCTTCATATAGGGTATTTTTTGGCCCTTCAAAGCAGACGTTCCACTCAAAGAAATTTGCGTCGTCAACCAGCCCGACGGAAAACCCGGCGTTGTGGTCGCGAGACAGTTCTGTCACGAGGGTGGTGGTGCGTGTGTGTGTATGGCTGGTTGCGCAAAGACGTGCGCAATGGTGTGCGTAATCATGTACGCAGGATGGGGGGAGGACATAGTGCTGCGAATACTGCTGCTAATAGTGGTGTTCACTCCGTGGTGCACCAACTATCGTCAACCGGGGACCCACTCCACGACAACCACAATAGGCGCGCGGACGTGGTCACGCAGAATACCTATAAATTGCTTCTTCAGAAGCTCTCTAGCTACGTTGGTCATCTTTTTTTTTTTTTTCTTTTTTACTTCTAATTAGTATGTGCCAATTCGTTTATGTGATCATAGAAAAAAAAAAAAATAGAGTTATCTTTTATGCGTACGTGTGGTTTATATTTATTTTCTCTTAAAAGAATTTTTCCTTAAAAAATGGAGCAGATGTCGAATGGCCTTGGTATTTTTTTTCTTTTTTTTTTTTTTTCCTTCCCTACTACGCTCTGTTGATCTGTCGGAGTGTTTTTTTTTTTTTTTTTTTCTGGCAACATAAAAGTGAGTAAGAAATGTAGAAGCGAAGTCAAATGTAGGCCTACAAACGCGCTGCTCACATTTTTGGTATGTGCTTAAATGTCATCGTTGGGGTGAACACATCTGGCATGCTGACAGGGGTGGGATGACAAAAGGAGAAATATGCCCCCTGAATGAATGACAGTCACTCTTTCGCAAAGTAGGAAATTATCCAGAAAAGAAAAAAAAACAAAAAAAAAAAAGGGGGATAAATTACAAAGCAAAGCAGTCGGTGTCCAAATCATTTCTAATTTCACTTCACCTTTCCGTTCTTTCATCACACGTTGATTCGCCTTCCACATGTTTGCCATTCAATTCGCAATCACATCGTATCATACAACATGGCATGGTAGTATGCTTGTCAACCTATCACTCCCTTAATGTGCGCGCATTTTACGCTTTTTTTTTTTCTTCTTTTTTTAAACTGAGGCAAAGATTAAATGGTGCCACATTGTATGCCTTCCCCCCCACCGTTGGACAATTTTTCTTTTTTTTTTGTGTAAAAAGAGGAAGAAAAAAAAAGTCACTCATCGTAATGCATTTGCGCATACTGTATCTGCAATTGTTACACCCTCGCGGGGGGGAATTCTACACAGTGACAGCACATTTAAAAACCTTTCCCATGCGCTGCCGCCAATGACTGCAACGGAAAGTCTCACCAGTGCTCGATGGTCATTTCCGTGGATGAGAACCTTCCGCGATGTTGTGGACAAAAGAAAACCCATTCTGATGCCTTGTGGTCTTATTCTTTGAGAATAGGACTTTTTTAATTTTTTGCAAAAAGCTGCATTTTTTATTGTCACTATCAGGGTCATGTTATGCCCTTCCGTGAGGATTCCATCGCGCCCTGTTCTTATCAACATCCCCATATGTATGACAAATAAACTCGTCCGAAATGGAAGACGCGGATACCTTGTCCTCTCCACTCGGGAGGAAGTATTCCGAATGGCCCCCTCATTTGCAGAACGGACTCTTTCTTTTGTCCCAATGATGTGTACGCCTATTGGCAAAAGTGCTCCCCGTCTTTTGCCCCCAGGACTCATTCATACATCTATAAGAGTTAGGCAAATTGCGATCTTTTCCGAAGAGACATAAGGTAAAATTCGAAATCGTTATTTCTCCGTCCGCCACTGGTGCTATAATTTTAAAATCCATTTCTACATTTCGCATCCATGGGGGGTTCATTAACCTATGTTGTGCCCCAAATCGGTCTTTACTACCGCGCGTATTGTAAGGTATGTCACTATGTGAGGCATCATTTGGGGGAAATTGCCTCAGGGCTGTGAGGAGTGACGCGTTGCCACTCCTCGCGGCATTTTCTCCCCCAACCCTGCGAGAATTTAAAAACGTGTTTACCTCCTCCAGTTTAGTACAATTTATATGACCCCCGCATTTGTAAATGAAGAAAACGTTCTTGTCGTCAAAAATGGAAACTCGGTTAGGCGCAGTGGTGACGATAATTAATTGCAAATTCTCTTCAAAGTCAATGCTATATATTTGGGAAATGTTTGCACACGCTGCTCTTCTGCTTCGACATACTAACTCCCCTTGCAGTTCACACCTATCTGTGTAGACGATAACAATTCCGTTGCACATTCCGACAAATAGGAATTTTTCTTTTTCTGAACAGCCAAAGTGCAATTGGAAAAATTGACTAGCATTTGGCTAGCTACTACCAGTTGGAATTTTTTTTTTTCTCAATCTGTTCATATTTTTTAAGAAATTTTTCTCATAAAATTTCTCTTCTTCTTTGCTTATCATCCGAATTTTGTGAACACTTTGGAAGTTATTTTTGGTTAACATTGGACAGTTGTTGCTACACAAATGGGAAAACATTCCAGTGGCACTGGAGAATTCTGTGTAATTTTTGTCTTCCGAATTGGCAGTAAAGCGTGCTGTCCATTCTTTGAAAATTCGGGTAGTTTTGCCTGACCGGGTCAGGTTATTAGCTGCACTCTTTCTCGCTACTATGTTGGCTATTTTTATAACCTCCTTAGAGAGAGGAATAATTATGTTATTGTGCACACTCGGGTGAAACATGCGTGTTGCGATGTGCTCATCAAATGCCCCTTCGCAAATAAAACTTAAAATGAATTTCTTATTCGTATGGCTCTTATTTAAAGGCTGTTTATCTCCATTTCGTATTTTCCATATTTTTATTTTTTTGTCCATACCTACGGTTAAAAAAAGACCACCTTGCACTTTCGAAAATTGTACGCTGGTGACTGCACCACGATGGGCCAAAAAATGTGTTCCCTATAGCAGCTACTGTCATTGGGGCATTTTCTCATATTTTCTGTGGGGAGTTCTTTTCCTGTGCCCTTTTCAGCATAGGCAAAGTTGTAAATGTGTAAAGTGCCACTATCTAACCCCGCCAGGACGTACCTCACACCGCTGCTTTGCGCGAGCGACAAAACAGAATTGCTGCTTCCTAATTTGATTTCCCTTATGAGTTTTACGGAGTGTGCGCTGTTTTTCCTCCCCCAGTGTGTTGCCTCGCGCTTCGCCTTCTCTCGTTATTCCCGTCTGAAACTTCGAAAAATGTGGCACGGACATTTCTATGCATATTTGGGCGCACATGTGTGTGAAGCAGCAATGGTTTTTGTTCACGCATAGGAGCTATGCCGCAACGTTCATCGGAGAAAGCGACAATTGATATGTGCTTACGTACGTCGGGGAGATGTGCTGTGAACGCTCGTTCCTCTTTCCGCCTCCCCCTTTTGCTCACATGTTGCTTCCTAAAGTGGCATTTTTTCTTAATAAAGCGGATGTGTATTTCCAAGCGAGTGTTTTTAATTCTCCCATTTCGCCGCCTCACACATTTGTGCATTTGGAGGGGTGTACTCTACCTGGTTCGATAATCTTTTTTATGGGTCAAAAGGGGGTTACATAATTTGTGGACGTTTAAAAAGAGAAGCGTAACCCTCATTTGGTGCTCCTTTTTGACGATTCTTTTCTTTACATCCTTTTCGAGTTTCATCAAGTGATCAATGCGGGGTAGCAACTCTGGGGGAGGCGCCATGGAGGGAGCTACGACGCCAAGGGCAGAACTGAAATGGGGGGTAAAACAACATCCACGTTGTTGTGTGTAATGCGAGGTGCAAACAGAATTGTGTGAACGTCTTCTACATAGGAACTCCCTTTGATTGTTAAAAGGGGCGCAAATTGGGCGAAAAAAGAAGAAAATTATCCAAAGTGCGAAATTATCAGTCTGTACGTAACCTCTTGTCAATAGGCAAACTTACACGTGAAATGTTCGCTGCTTTGACGCCATTTTTTTTTTTTTGGTGCACCGCACTTGTGCAATTTTATCGTGTCGTAAAAGGGGTGAAGCCTATACACAACAAGCTCGACTTTTTCACCCTTTTTGTGTAGCTGTATAGGAGTCAACCTCCCGGGGTGTGGAAAGTCCTACTAAAAGGGGAAGACAAAATGATGAAATGTGTGATCAGCCGCACATGAATAAGTGGGGGTTTTTAATCGGAATTTTTTAGCCAGCAGTTTTTAACCTGAACGTTTATCTGTCGCTTTTTAACGGGCATCTTCTGTATCTTGATGTTATCTGGCCCTCCCCTCATATTGTTGTCCCCACGTTTGTCGCAAATTTTTCGTGCTTCGAAAGAAACGCCTTTTAATTTTGTAACTACCTTTTTTACCATGCTCTTTTTCGCTGTACTTTGAATCCCACTTTTGGTGCGGACCCCCGCTGGAAAAGCTAAAGAGGGGTAATTAGGCGGTTGGCCAGATGAGGGAGAATGACCACTTCTTTGCACATGAAGAACAGATGAATTTCGGGGATGGAAAGAGAGGCCGAACAGGGCGCGGCGTGGTAGGGATGGACAAGGTATTATCCACCGGGGGGATACACACCGAAGAGATTATGACCGAAGAGGTGCTAACAGGAGGGATGCTCCGCAAAATGAACTTCTTCAGTGAAGACTTCAACATGGCCAGCGTCCTGGAGGAACTACAAAGGCACTACAAAGAGAGGAAACACCTGCTGAGCGAAGTTAACCACGATGTTCTTGCCACACACAAAAGGAGGGAAGGGCTCAGCAAGTACGAAGCAAATCTACTTCACAAACAGACCCAAATTATTCTCTACATGAGGAACAGTTACCAGAGTCTTAATAATGTCAGTTATGTTAAGTATCATTTACCTTACTGTGTTCAGCCGAAGACGAATAACACAGACATTTGTGCATCGAAAAATGGACTCCAAAAAAATGCGAAGAAGAAAAGTACCCTCCGTTTTGATTTCACTCAACATTTCTTAAACCGCTTTCATGAAAACGTATTGCGGTTTTGCATATGCCTCTATTTTTGTACCTGTCCGGACAGGCAAATAAATCCCCTCTTTCCCCCTTTGCACAATTTTGCAGACATTTTGCGGGAACTGAATGTGCGGAAGAGACTCGCCGAATACAAGGTAGCCCATTTTGTCAAGAAGTACACCGGTTAGTTTGATCACCAGTTGGTTGCCACACCAATTTGTTGGCACACCAATCCGTTTGCCTGTTAGCTTGCATATGGGTATCCCCCCCGTTTGGAGGGCCACCAAAGGGGATTCCTTCCTGTGTCCCTTTCTTACGTGCGCACATTTGGACGCTTCCCCATTTGTTAGGCAAAATCAAGGGGATTAACATAATGCACACGCAGATGGCACAGCTATATGAGGAAAAATCTACAATTGAAATTTTTGTAAAAAGCGGAGGTGACAGAAACAGCTTTGATCTGATCGTGGGGCACATTGTCTTTTTCGATTACCGCGCGAACGTGTTGCTTGAGAATGTAGTGCTAGTTGTAAGGGAAATTGGAAAGGGCAGGAACATCATCCGACATTCACCCCCTGCCTTCTTTCATTTTGCTAAAAATGTTGTCTCTTAATGGGGACTCTTTCCCAGTTGCGTGAGCCAGGGGCGTAGTCACACATATGCCTTTCTCCCATCTGCTTCGCAGGCAGCGTCGGGCGAACGGAGACTCCCGTGGATGTTTATTCAGTTAGAGCGAACGCACGAAAATGTGAAATCGTGAAGACGTGAACAGTTCCAAATGGATGCACTCTTCAATCATTTTGAGAGTAATGAGCAGCCGGCACCAATCGGGAACGAAACACATAAATCTTTTTTTTTTTTTTTTTTTTTTTTTCTTATGAACAGGTCAGGCAGCATTTTATTTTTGCGGAAAGCGATCGGGGACAGCCACGCGAGTCTACTCGGATAGGGCGTTAAATATTTCCCTCTTCCGATCTGTTAGAGATGTGTAACAAAACTGAATCGAGCTATTTTCTAGTAGAGACAAGGTGGTCTTAAAAATGCCTTTGAGAAATTTTCTCTCTTCGTATTCGTCCTCTCCCATGGAACTCGTCTTCGAAATGAATTCATACATGTCCACAATTTTGATTACAATGGGGAAAGCTATTGGGGGCAAGTTCAGGCTAGCCTTGTTGCTTCGCAGGAAGGTGACGAGGAAGTTGGCGTTCCTGAGGAGTAGTTTGTTCATTCTGCGCAGGGGGAGAGCGGTTGGTGAGGAGAAAGGATCACTCAGAACAGGAGCATGGGATGACGACAACGCAGAAAAAGTTAACCAATCGCATGCACAGCGCTGTTTTGCACACAAACAAGGAGAAGGACAACATCTCCCCATAAAATATTTCTTACCTGCTGTCGAGATACAAAATGGAGTCCACGTAGGAACAGAAAAAGTTGATCGCATACCCTCCCTTCGTGGCCACTTCCATTAGCGTCCTTTTGGACTTCACCGCGAGTTCGTTTTTCTCTGCGAGGGGAGGGAGAACGGTGGGGTGTCATCACCAGTGGGTATGTACGGGCACGTCAGTGTGTGTGTGTAGGTACACGTACGTTTGTATGTAGACATGTTGGACGAAGTGTGGTCGGCTTCCTTGCCGTTTTTATAACGCGGTCAGCACGTTTCAAATCAGCGACTCCTTCCCCTTACGTATATTGAAGAACTCGTATAACAGGACAAAGAGCTGGTGGCTGAGCAGGTACAGGTAAAACTTCTTTCGCTCGAAGAGGTCACAGTTATTTAGGATGTAAAAATGCGTTATGAAAAATTTTCCCGGACTTGACACAGCGCCGTCGTTGCTGCTTCGTATGCGATTTTTCCTGTTGGGTGGAAGGAAGGCGGTGGAGTGCAGAAGGAGGTGAAGCGCACGTGTGAGATACATTCAGAAAGATGAAGGCGTGTGTAGACAAACAGGTACGCGCTCAAGTGAACGCATAACTATACAAACGCCACGCGGATAGCGCTCGCCTCTCGCATTACAGTAAGTCCATCGTCCTGACTAGCAGACTGCAGTAGTTGCTTACGAATCCGAGGAGGTTGGAGTAGCTCCCGTCTGCGTGGGGTGAAATTGGAATGGAGTGGGGCCTTGTGTGTGTGTGGGGGGTTCTCGACGTCACTCTGTGCACATGATTCGCACGCACACGTATGATGCATACAAACATGGACGCATGCAACGATAAGTAGTTTCAGACGAACTCACCCCGCGTTTCCGCCTTGAGGCGCACGAAGAAGAACACGAACAGCTGCGACATCTTGTACACGAGGTGAAGCAGTAAGAAGAGGACGGAGGAGCTTCTCCTCATCACCACTTCAACGTCCAAGTACGTCTGGACATGTCGAATAAGTAGGAGATACAAACTGATAAAGGAAGAGGAGTCGGTTGGTCTCCTGCTCTGATGAATTATCTCTGAGCAAAACTTCCGACTGTTCGAAATGACATAAATCAATGTTATTATGTGTATGTTGAAATGGTAGAGGCAACCTTCTGCTTCTTCGTTTGAGTACCTCATATTTATCTCTCCTTGGACGTAAGTCAAAATGTTCTTTACGTCATCGGAGGAATAGCTAAACAGCGTGCAAATATTCTTAATCACGTTTTGATACTTTATGCAGATGTGTAGTGAATGCTCATGGGTATATTCTGCCAATACGCTGTTGTAGTGATACAAAAAATCGTACAGTTGGAGAGAAGTTAGCTTTACTTCTCCGTTCGATGGGACACTTAAATCTCTGTCTTTATATATGCCATTCCGCCGCCTATCTGGTAGGAACAGTTTAAGAAAGAGGATGAGATTTCCCTCGTCCATAGCTATTTGGTCCTTCCTCCTGGAACGTTTGGCCCGTTTCTTCGCTTGTCTGTCCGCGGGGGTCAACCCTATTAACTTCTCCCCTTTCGCTTCGGCCACCACATGCTTTCCACCGTCAGGACTTATCGAAATGGAGGTACTTCCTACACCACTTCTGTTTGCCAGGTTAAAAATCTTCAAAGCAAGGATGCTATAGGGGAAGGTGGTGTACTTCTCATTCCCTGTGCGGAGAATGTGTTCCACTTGGAGTCCTCTCAGCGCGTTCACCACCTGGACGACAGCTGCGCTGTTTGGCTCCTCCCAGAAGTTGTGTCTCAGCAGGAAGGACACGAACACGTGTTCGATCATATCGAGGAAGAGTGCGTTAATGCGGGCAGTGGTAGCGGTGATAGCGGCGCGGCTTCCACTGGTGATGCCATCAGTGCTACCATTTCTGCCGCTATTCGTGCTTCCACCCTTCGTAGCGTCCCCTCCGCTGCTTAAAATCCTGTGAAGGAAATCTTTCAATTTAGTCAGCATCGCACCTATGTCGTCCCCTTCGACCCCGTGGCTGGGGCCACTGTGCACCTCCTCACTGCCGAATCTTGGGCTGCCCCCTCCATGCATATGATTGGTCAAGTACGCCACGTGGTCATCACTTAGGGTAGCGGTGGATCCTTCTTCCTGCCCCTTCGACACGACCAATTCGTACAGAAGGAGAAAGTACTTAATAAAAAAGACGAAGCAGGTTTCTACCTTTCTGGATTTCCTCTGAGGGGATGTCCTCGATTTTTTCTTCTTTGAAGATCCTTGGGGTGGCTCCCTCGGAAGGTTCTGCGTGTCGGTGGCGCTTTGCTCAACGTGCGTCTTCTTGTGCGCTCCCCTCTGCGCAAACGAGTTGTCAGTCCACTGGCTGATGTAGAGGAAGAAGATGTGAAATAGCAGCTTCAACAGAGGAATGATTTTGTCTGTCCTGAAGATGCCACTGGTTATGTACTCCTTCTGCTTCTGAATCAACTGGAACGATAACTTTACAAAATGGAGTAAGTCCCTCAGACCCAGCTTCGGGCTCTCCTCTCCAGCGAGGTTTTCACAGAAACAGATTAGAATGTTGGCCAGAATATGCTCACGGTACACATTGTAGTTGGAGAAATCGCCACAGATTTTGCACAAAAGAGTGTATAGATTGTCTTGCACTTTTTCTATGCCATTGAACAGGGGGAAAATGTTACTTAAAATGCATACGTCGAGATTTGGGGTATCCCTGTTGAGTTTACTTCTGAGTGGGGACAAAACGAAGAGGTTACTCTTCCTTCTGCGAGAAAAAACACTCATCATTCTGTTTTCGTCAAATTGGTCGATTGAGCCCCTACACAGGCTGCTCCCATTTGGGGATTCTAATTTTTTTTTCAAGTTTAGCATTTCGTACCACTTGTGATTTTCACTTGAGAGGGTTCTGTTCCTTCGAACTAGTGCGGGCACGGGGGAGGACAGAAAGGCCTCCTCTTGGGGAGGCATCACCCCTTCGTCATGGAAACCTCTCCCCCTCCCCCCTCCTTCCCGCTTCTGTCGAAGGGAAGCTTTGTCCAAATTTCCCAACATCAAAATGAAGTGCAACGAGAACAACTCCTTCAGTAAGTTGCAAACCGTTTTGTTTTCTCTTATGATGAAAAAGTAGTCAAAGAGGAAGTCGTAATTCGGCTCATTCTTCATGATGGCAATATCAACGAAGAGTAATTTTGTGAATTCTTGGTAAATGGTATCGACGATTTGTTCTCTTCCTCTGAAGGTGGTCACTAGAAATGCGTGGTTGTAGATGAAGAAGTTGGCGATCTGTCTGGAGATTTTTTTCTTCACTGCGTAGGGGTACTCCGCCAGGGCGTTTTTCTTCAGGACGCGGAGCACTTGATTGAGGTGCTCGACCAGGCGGTCCAGATCTGCCAAAAGAGGGGGGGAGGGAGAAGGCATGAACAGTGTAGCGGCGAAGATGTACACATGGCAGCAGAGAAGGTGTACACATGGTAGTGTATAAGGTGCACACCGTAGTGGAGGAGAGCCCTATCCCTCCCACTTCCTCCCCGCACACACAGCGTTCCTCACCTATGACGCGCAGCTCCACCAGGGAGAGGAAAAAAAAAAGCGTCTGAAGAATCATCTGCAGTATGTCGAAGAAGGCGTGTAAACAGTCCTCTCTAACGCATTGGTCAAACATCGGTTCGACGGTGGGGAAAGAGGTCAGAAGCATCGCAACGATGTGCTGCATAGACGGATGAGACAGTAGCTTATCGGTTTTTACTTCCCTATGGAGCAGCGAATACATAGCCACTCTGGATAAGCTATAATTGAAAAAGTATAGTACATAAAATTTGCAGGCCGAGTAAGCAAACTTCGTGTCGGAAAAATTGCCCTTGCCTAATCTGTCATAAAATGTCACTTCACTCTTCAGCTTCGTCAAATGGATAGTTGCAATTTCTTTCACGTGAGGGAGCAACCCTTCAGTTATGTTCTTCTTCGGAATGGACTTCAAGAAGGAGCAGATTATGTACTCTAACGTTTCTACGTTTTGGACAATCGATGGATAGCTGGCAATGGGATTCCATCTGTGCGGTTGAGAGCTGCTAACCATAACGTTACGAGCATTTTCCCCTCCACCCTCTCTTAACTGTAATATAGCTTCTACCGTTTGGCTAAGCTTAGACACGTGGTAAGTGTACACCTCGATGAGGTACTCCAAAATGGTAGACGCCTGGTCGACCCATATATTCACGCTCCTTTTAAACACCTCTATTACGACGCAGTTTTGCAAAAAATGAATGCTCCTCATGGAATGATCCTCATGTGCATTCACATTTCCAACGATGTAGTAGTGCAGAAATTTAAAGAGCCCCTTCACCCCAAATATGTCGACGTACTTTGTCATCACCGTCCTCAGTAGGTGGCTCCCGAAGTGGTTAACATGGAGAGGATTGACGTGATAAGAAGTGACGATGTTGAGGTTTCCCGTGCTGCTCTGGCTGTACCTCCCGCTGGAGGTGATCCCTTTCGCGAAATTGAACAGCGTCGAGAAGATCAGTGTCCTCAGGGTGACATCAAAATGAATCACCGTTATGAGGTTCATCTGGTTGACGTATATTAAGTAGTTCAAATAGACCATCATTTGTTTCTTTTCTTTCTTCTTTTTTCCGTTTCGCTGTTGGAGGAGAAGCAGGCGAATTGGGTCTTCTCCACGATCACTCCGGTTGGCTTTGTCTAGTGTGGTCACTTCCGATTGGGGAGCTCTCCCACGTGGGTACGTGCAGAATATATTCCTGAACTTCTTATCGTACAGTAACAAATGGGGTTTCCCACCGATGTAGATTCTTTCGCGGGAGAAGCTGTGTGAGGGGTGAGTAGACAGCTTAGTAGATTGCTGACTAGATTGCTGAGTGGACGGCAGAGGAGCAGCCCCCCCCGCAGTGCACTCCCGCAGCGCACTCTTCGATTCCCTCATTAATTCGAAGTAAGCATTCGTTAAGCAGTCAAATTTATACTTCACCAAGTATGCCATATTCACAAACAGGAATGTGTCTTTTCTTATATTGCTCCTTCCATTTAGGTACCTTAAAAATCGGTAAATCAGTTTTGAGTACTCTACTAAGATGTGCACATTGTTGTACCTCTTCTGGGGATCATTCAGATGAAGATCCTCTTCAAAGCGGCACATCGTGTGTGCGATTTTTATCTGCACAGACTTGAAGTAGCTAGCAGCGTTTCTGTGGATCGTCACTTTGGGTTCTCCAAGAGGCTTCATATCTAGTGATGGCTCTGCGTCAGAGTCTACCACGGAGGAATTAACCTCACGGAGAGTGTCCCCCTTCCTTGACGTGGCAAAGTTAAACAATTTGGCATACTCCCCTTTGACGTTCTTACCATATATGGTCAACTCAAAATGGGGGATTAACAGGAAGAGGGTGAAGTAGGTCTGCACATGTGCCAAATTGGCAGTAGCCTGTTTCAGGAGAAGCCATTTGATGATAGTACCCAAGGCTTTAAAGCACCCCCTCCTTTTAGTAATCCCCAAAAAGGGATGCTTCTCATTGGAAGTATAGTCATCCTTAAAGAAGTAAATCAGTTTGTCTCTTTTACTCTTATGCAGAGTGACCGATGGGCAGATCAATTTGTCCCCATGAGGATCGAACCGGAAGCTGGGTTTCTCATTTGACACTTTATTGAGCAGAATGTACATGACCTCCAAAATCCTTTCATTCTCCTGGAAAAGGAAAAATGAGTAATTCACTTTTAGCTCTTCCTTGCTGGCCAAGTAGGATCCATACACATTTTTAAAATACCCTTTCGTTATGTTATCCAGGCTCGTGGTGATCTGTTTCTTTATTAGACCCTTCAGAGTTAAGAGATTTTTCAGCACTGAATTGAAGTGGCAAGAGGAACTCTCTTCATTCGTTTGACATCTCTCTGCTAACTCTTCCACGTACCCTATGTAGTCATACACGTAGGTATACAATCCGAATAGATTGCTATAAAACGCATATATCTTCACATCGTTTAACATAGGTTTGTAATTCTTGAAGTAGAGACTGAACAGACTGTTCACGTGCACCACGTAGTCGTCTATCCGCGCTACGTTCTGGTGCTTGTCTTCGGGGGAGTCGTCCCACTGCTCCGACCAGTCCGCTTTTTTTCTCTTCTTCGCATCGTTGGCGTGGTTAGCGGCATCTTTGGCAATCCCTTCTGAGGTGTCACCATCCTGGGGTTCACTGACCGATTCGATGCAGCCCTCTCTTGGGGTGATTGGCTCCTCGTTTGCACGTTTGGGCTTTCGGGTTTGAAGCGCATCGGTGAGAGGTTCACTGGGAGGGTCGTCACCTGTGTCATCTGTGTCTTCCTCGTTCACGCCCTCTGCTTCATCGCCTTCTTCCTCCTCGGCTTCTTCCTCTTCCTCGCTTTCCTCACGCTGCTGCTTCTTGCCCCCTCCCAGCGTGTAGTCCACCCGCCGGGAGACACTGTAAATGTCCTCCTCGCAAAAGGCCTCCAGCAACAGCGCCACAGCATCGAAGAGCAGGTTAAACAAATTAGTCGCGTTCAAGTTGTTCCTGCTCTTCCGACTAATGAGGAGCAAAATGTTGTTAATATTTCTAATTTTCACCTTTGCATCCTTCTGCAAAATCTGCTTCAGGTTCAGGCAAGCCAAAATTTTGTCCAAAATCATGGGTTCTAGATGCACCTCATTTGTCAACAGAACCTCCAGCACTAGATGCACCACTTGGTAATTCTTATTGTGAACAAGTTTCAAATTTATATTTGTTAATATCCCTACGTAGTACTCGATTTTATTCATTATGTCCTTCCTCTTTAACTTCCCCTTATTGGAAGCCATGTCTCGAAGCAGATGATCTATGTACTCACCTTTCTTGCTGGGCGTCTGGACCTCCATTTTTCTCTTTCAGTGAAGGGACAGAAGAGAGGGGAACTAATATAACTATGCTGCGTAAACTGACCAGGTGGAGTGGCAACCAACTGGAGATTTACTAAAAAGGAGGGGCGACGGGGGAAGGCTTGTATAATCTCCACCACGGAGCTACGGACTGGTTATGGCTTGGATCGCCTCGCGAACTGAAGACTGGCCCTGCTGAGGATGGAGTGATACCAGGTCAGTTCAAACTACTTCGTGCCTACCTTCCAACGAACAAAAAAACAGCGATCGCATGAAGAAAAGCATTTTGCAGCAAGTCACGAAAAGGCAACAACATTAATGAAGTATCTAAAAAAGAAACGAATTTGTCACTCTATAGATAAAAAATACCCGTTCATATGTTTTACGAAAAAAAAAAAAAAAACGTCACTTCTGCGGATTAAAATATACGGTTAAAGGAAAAAAAAAATGTTGGCAAAATGAGAAAAGTCAGCCCGTCGATCCCATCACCGCGGTCTTCTCATCCCCCAAAGTGGGAGTCCCAAAAAATAAAAGTATAGCAACTTAAAGGTAGCAAAGTGACGTGGTTCCAAATTGGCCAAACTTATCCAGCGTTGCACACTCAGAGTAAATCAATAATTCATGCGTAAGCGAAGTCAATCTAACGAGGGACAACGCGGAGAGGCAATGCTGATTGGGGTTATGCACTCCAGGACGGAGGTCCATCGACGCGCAGCTCCAAGGTCCCATTCTTCGAGAAAAAATAAAAAATAAAAAAAATAATGTTCCACGGTGTACCGCGGGTGTTTACATTTTTTATGAGAGTTGGTAGGGGCTCTCCATTTTTCTGTTTTCCAGCCATTCGCCCTTCTACTTGTTTAGTTTTTTTTTTTTTTTTTTCCTCTTTTCACACATGTTGGCAATCTTATTAGGGTATACCTTTCCATCACGGCAACCGCCAATTAGTTGAAGCTTGTCAAAACGGTGTAGTCCTTTGCGTGGCACCGCGGACGAGGTGGAAATGGCCTTGTGGCGTAATCACTCCCGTATGTTCCCGTATCGTTAGGCGGTAAGAACTTCTAATGCATGCACGGGTTGTTCCTCCTCTGCAGGTGAGTCATTTACACGTGCGAGGAAAAAATGGTCCAGGGGGTGCGACATACCTTGTGTGCTGCATCAGCGTAGCGGCTGCCTCCGCGCGAGTGAGCAACTACATAAGTAAGACTCGCTTGGACCTTTAAGCCTGCACGAGGATCGTCCCCCGTTCGGATACCATGGGCCCAACATGAACACGCAGATGGTGAAGAAAGCGATAAGCAGTGCTCGAACGCTGCGCAGTGTCTGCCCTTTGCAGACGTGTCGCCTCTTGCGCGAGGGACCATTCCGCCGCAGCAGGCAAGGCATCGCAACGGAGTCCCTCATCAAAAACTCCTTCCTAACCAAGGAGTACTATGACCAAAAGAAGAAAAAAAAAATCGACCTGTTCGATTTTGTTCCCCCAGAGAATTTCGTGTCCTCGTATTTTGAGAAGCTGGATAAGTGCTACTCCAACCCACGGTCGATACTGCGGTGCGTTTTTTTCCGTCTGAGAAGGAAGAGAATTGGGTGGGAGGACTATCCTGGTGGATTCTCCCCGCCTCTGCCCCCCTCCTGAATGCTTATAAGTGTAGATGTGTGCTCTTCCCACCCAGGCGCGCAACGATAAGAAGTAGGGAAGGGTGGCATAGTAGATCACCGCTTCTTTTTTTCTTTCTTTTTCCCCTTTTTTCCCACCACACCAGGCTGTACAAGGACTACATAGAGAAGGAGGATTACCCGAACTATAACTGGCTAGTGAGATGCTTCTGCCAATTAGCCAACGTGTTCGGATTTAACTCCTTGTGGAGTGTCAAGGATAAGGAAGCTATTCATGAGCTCAAGTTATTCAAATTTTTGGTATACGATTTGATCGAAAGGAAGGAAGCAATCAAAGCGAGACATTGTCCCAGACTCCTATACGCAATGTGCTGCCTAGACTACAGGTGTTATTATCTCCTTCCGACTATATTGGAACTCATTGAAATTGATCTGAACAAATTCCGAGTGCCAACGCTCTCTATGATGAGCTTCTGTCTATCCTACCTAGGACTAAGAAACCAGGATGTTCAATTTGGCTCGTACGATAATCTTTCTCGAAGTTACAATTTAATAGAGAAGATACTTAACAAGATCTACGAAAGGAGGGATGAAGCGAAAGGGGACATGACTAATTTCTGCTGGTCCTTGTTAGCCTACGTTCTCGTCATAAACAACATGTATGAATTTCCTCTTAAGGATGAGAGTAGGGGGAAAAGTTGTACCACTTCTTTTTTTTTGCCAGAGATTTTAAAAAATGCATGTGAAGGATTAACTAGGGAAAATATAGCAGAAAGTGGATGGATTCAATACTACCTTTATATGACCCTCTACTGCTGTGATGTTGAGAAGCCGAGAAACGAACGGATGATAAAGGAGAGTGTCCCCTTTTTCATTCAAGAATATTTACACCTCAAATGGCTAGATCATATATTGATAACTGCCCAGAATCAGGGGTCAGAAAAGATGCAACTCGAAATGGAAAACATTATACAAAAGTTACAATTAAAAAATTTCTTCATTAATCTCTCTGTTGGCCGCAAAATAGATGAACAGCATTGTTTTTTTGCTTCCCATTTTTATAAGCCTTTAAATTTATGCCTCGAATATGACTATTTCCACCCCATTGGTTTGAATAGACCACTAGTGAGTGGCACCATATCTTTGAAAAATCGGATTTTTAAAAAGCTCAACTTTAACGTTGTTAATATTCATAAGTGTTTTTGGGATACACTGACAGAGGAACAGAAGGAATCGCAACTCGTCCGCGTTTTGGAAGTGTTTCAAAGGGACGGCAGTGGGAAGAAGCAGCAACTGCAGCAGGGGGAGCTTTACCAGGAGAAGTACTTCGATTCGGATTTGTTACATTTGAAGCATAAGCGGGTCAAGTTTCGTAGTTGGCCGCCTGAGCACATAACGGTGTAGCGAGGTGGGGCGTGATCCGTGTCTGGGCCAGTCGTTTTGAGCTTTACTTCGGTGTACTGCGTGGTACTACGCTGTGGTGTCCTCTGCGGTACTATGCTGCGGTGTCCTCTGCGGTATATGCTGCGGTGTCCTCTGCGGTACTATGCTGCGGTGTCCTCTGCGGTATATGCTGCGATGTCCTCTGCGGTATAT